AGTCAGGTGCCACATTCACCCCAAAGAATTCTGGAATTGTTAGGAGACCCCTTATTCCCTACACAGAGCTACAATTTCCAGAGTGCTTTAACAACCAATCTCTCTTCACAGGGAACTCTGGGAATTGGAGCTTCAGCACCCTGAAGATACTACAGCTCCCAGAATTCTTTGGGAGAAGCCATTTGGTATCATAGTGCTTACAGGAAGTGTAAGGCACGAATGTGGCCATGGAGTGTGATGTTGTTGCATGAATTAGGTAAGGCAATAATCATAGCATAAATTTAAAACTCATGACTTCTGCTGGGGGAGGATGCGGTGGAGTAAAGGAGAGGAAAAGAGGGGGAAAGCTGTGAAAAGACTTGGCGTCACAGCTCTGTATTCCAGATGGTCACATTGCCAATGATCAGCATGTGTTAATTTGGATCTTAAAGGTGTGCAGATTTGAATCAACCAATTACACCGACTTCTTCCTTCTTTCCCCCAATATTCAGGGGTGGCCCAAGACATTTTGTAAAATGGCCCAGTGCCACCCTTCACCCCCACCATGATGCCCCGCTCCCAGTTCAGGGTCCCCACCCCTTTCCTCCCCCACCATCATGGTGCCCGTGCTGCCGCCAGCCCCATCACCACAACTGTAACCTCACCTGCGGCTGCATCCGTGACGCTGCTGCGGTGCAAAGGCAAGGGCATCAGGGATGTGTTGGCTGCAGGTGGGACTGGAAGCAGTGCTCTGGGGGTGGGGAGAGGGTCAGATCTGCTGCCCAAAGCAAATGGCTTCACCTCGCCTAATGCACAGTCTGCCAACACTGGCCTAGAATTAATTTAATAAGTCGTAGTTTGGGGAGCAATTAGTCTGATTGCCTTCCTCCCATTTCCTTTGCTTGTCCAGAGACCAGTCCAGAAAGTCTGTCATCATCAGCAGAATAGCTGCAGTGCAGATGTCTGCCATAGACTTTCTCCAAGGAAATGTACTTGCAGCAGCAGGAAAGGCACAAGGGAGAAGGGCGTCCAGGGGTGGGGAGGAGAACTCAGTGACGCTGCATCCTGAGCAGCAGCACCACCCCCCTCCCCCACACACACAAGAGGGAGAAATAACAAAACAAAGAAAGGCAGGAAGAAACAGGTTTGGGTTTCGGCTTTTGCCAATGATGGTATTTGAAATACCTGGTGCATAGGTGGTAGATTTAAGAAGGCTCTGCTCTGTGCCCATGCCTGACACAGGGTCATAGTCCAGCTTTATGGTTTTTGCAGATACAGGTGAGGAAGGTCATAAGGGCAAATGGGGCTCTGTCCCCCCCCAACCTCAGTCTGCCCTGAGCCAGCCCCCACTTGCCTGCCCTCTTCCTTGCATATAGTCCAAGGTCTTGCGGCACTGGGACCCCATTTAAAGCACTGTGATACCACTTTAGACAGCCATGGCTTCTCCCAAAGAATTCTGGGAGCTGTAGTTTGCTAATGGTGCTGAGAGTTGTCTATCTGTTCCCCTCACTGAGCTACAGTTCCCAGAATGGTTTGACCGTCATTGCTTCCTCATAGGGAACTCTGGGAATTGTCGCTCTGTTAGGGGGGAACAGGAGTCTCCTAACAACGCTCAACTCCTTTTCCAAATTACGCTTCCCAGGAATTTTGGGGGGAAAGCCATGGCTGTTTAACATGGTATCACTATGCTTTTAAATGTATGCTGTGAATGTGGCCTACAACTTGCAGGAGTGGATTCCATTATTTAACGATGCACTTTGTAAAGAAGTCCTGCCTTTTCATCTATCCTGAACCTTCCAACATTCATCTTCACAAAAATGAATGCCTGTCCAAAGCAGGACTTGCTGTAATCGCAAATATCCCTTTGCATCAAAGGTTAAATTGAAAATGGCAATGCAAAGGATTTTCCTCTGCAGTTCAAGCTTCACTCACAAAAGGGGTTGCTTGTGTGTTTTTTTTAGTTTGGGTCCCCTGAAATTACTTGTGACATCAGCTGATTGGCATGTAGGAGGTCCTGCCCACCTGTCAAAATGGCTTGCCAAGATGAAGGAGCCACCTTGAATGGTTTGGCAAAAAGATGGTATATAAGTGTACTAATTGTATAATAAATTGTTTTGTTGAAAGGGGGGCATCCACCATGGGTACTTTGAAATGGTACAGTTCACTCAATCACTACATCTCACCCTCATAAAAATATGTAACCAGGCCATCTTAGGCACTACTAAAGTTTGGGAACCACGCAATGGCATCCCAAGGTCCTGAAATCTGCTTGCAAGAGGTAATAAAGCCCGTCAGTCTTCCTATCTCAAAGCATCTATATTGCAGGCTTTCCTGCCACCTGGTGGGAAACAGATGGATACAACTGCAGGCATGAACAAAGGAGAAGATAAGCAGATACATTACATGCCACAAAATATTGCAGTGTGTGGAGGACTAGATTTCAAGGTTCCAGATGGTTTTTACTCTCCAGGACACTCTGTTGCATCCCATTCAGTCAACATCCCATTCCTTCTGAACGTGCTCAGTCATCATTAGATTATTTTAATAGTGGTCCTCCTACTTATGTCCACCCTAAGATTTCTTCTATTTATTTATTTTGCAAACCTTTAGGTTCCCACAAGCTTGCTGACGCCTCCCTCTCTTGTGAGCTCATGGTGCCATATTTTACATACAATAAACTTGAAAGGCTGTCGTCACGCAGCAGTTGGCTTGGCCACTGACAGGGGGCACTGCCAACTATGGCATGATGACAGACTGGGCTCTCACATCGCAGCAGCTTTGGAGCGTAAGGAGGGGGAAACCAAAGACAGAGACAAGCAAGGGGCGGTTTTATGACCTGTCTTTGTAAGCAGCTTTTGATGTTGGTTTTTTGGTTGTTTTTTTACAGTCAAGTAGTGTATACATTTTTAATAAAATGAATAAGGGGAGGGGTGGGTGGCTTTGGCGAGAGTGGTTGATGGGGTGGGGGGTAGGGGACTGGTGAGCGAAACAAGCAGAGGTGCAGCCCCTGGTTTGTTACATAAGGATCCACAGAGAATAGCCCTGGTCAAGCATGTGTGAACATATGAAGCTTAAACTAGGAAGGGTGCGTGTTCACCAGGTCTGTCCCACTGTCCCTACACACTCCCACTTCAGACCTTTGCATGTTGAGTGTCTTACCACTGTTCCCAATTGTGATGAGGCTTCAGCCAGATGGGATCAGAAGAACTTTAGACCTTTGCATGGAATATGTGAAGGTCTCAAGTGGAGCCAGTACATGTGGCAATAAAAAAGGTGAAAGATAAAGGACCCCTGGATGGTTAAATCCAGCCAAAGGCAACTATGTGGTTGAGGCACTCATCTCGCTTTCAGGTCGAGGGAGCTGGCGTTTGTCCACAGGCAGCTTTCCGGGTCATGTGGCCAGCAGCACTAAACTGCTTCTGGTACAACAGAACACTGTGATGGAAACCAGAACACACGGAAATGCCGATTACCTTCCTGCCACAGCAGGTACCTATTTATCTACTTGCACTGGTGTGCTTTCGAACTGCTAGGTTGGCAGGAGCTGGGACAGAGCAACGGGAGCCCGCTCTGTTGCAGGGATTCAAACTACCGACCTTCTGATCAGCAAGCCCAAGAGGCTCAGTGGTTTAGACCACAATATTAGGGGTGTGGCAAAGCTACCCAATTCATATTTTCCAAAGTGGTACGTGGACTGAAGCACATATCATCAGGACCACAGAGAGTTGCTAACTCAAGCTCCTATACATGTAATAAGAAATTTTAAAGATGAAATAATGCTTGTGCATGCATAGTCAGTAGTCTAGAAAAATCAGGACAGATGGAAATTGTTGTCCAGCTAGATAAAGCTGGACGACAAGAAGTTTAGAAACTAGTACCTATTCCTTGATTCTGATTTAATGGTTATGTTACCTAGAAAGTCTTAATAAGTACATCTAGAATAATATTGCTGGGTTTGTATCATTTATTTGGCTAGAAGTTTCTTCTGCAGCTACGGATTTATGCTGTTTTGATATGAATCTCTTTTTTGCATTTAATTATCTCTAATTAAAATGTCATGTTAGGCACTCCGGGAGACAGCCCGCTGTGGAGCAAAATATAGATCCCCTAAATTAAATCACATAAACAAATAGAATTTAAGACACATATAGTTGAAGACATCTTGATTACTATAAATTATGAAAGGGATATTTTATTTGTTTGTTTGTCCACTTATGAATCACTTCCCATAAAAATATCTCGAATTGATTTTGCAGTAAAAACATCAACAATAAATACAATGAAAAACAAGTCCATATATTAAAGAGCCATTTTCAAATCCAGTACAGATACAGACTGATTTAAAGATCTCCACTTAGAAACCTTGATGAAAAGGGAGTTCTTCAATAGGTGCTGAGAAGACAACAGAAATGGTGTCTGTCTGATGTGTAGATAATTTGATTTTTGCATCTGTTTTGCAACATGGAGAATGCAAAGTATATTCCATAAATCATCTGTGTGATTGCATGTCAGCTATGATTAAAAAAGTGTGAAAATGTTAGTGTGTATGTACATGAAGACATGTGAGATATAAATTTAATAAATAAATCCAAGACATGAAAAGCAAAAAATGGGGGTGCACACACCATCTATTTAAAGCACATGGCCTCAAAGAATCTTGGGAACTGTAGTTTATTAAGGGTGCTGGGAATTGTAGTTCTGCAAGGGGGTAAATCCTCCAGATTATTCCATGCTGCTTTTTTAAGAAGTCTTTTGCATTGTGTGTGTGTGCGTTTTAATAGTGATTGCTTTTTCCTTCTGTGTAAACTGCCCTGTGTCACCTTCCGTGTCAAGAGCGGGGCAGGTACAGAAAGGTCAATATTAACAGATGAATCGAAAACCTCTCCAGACAGTTGAAGGCAGACACACCTCTTCATGCATCCCCTTTGCTCAATATTTAGACACACCACGTGCCAATTCCTCTCTCTCCAGAGGCTGGGCCCAGCCTGCACTCATCCAGACACCGACGTGGAGTGGGGGACAGGGCGCACGTGTGAATGCAGCTTCGCCCATGACAAGTCCAAGGGGAGCTCAGCTCCCTTTCTGTGCACTGGCTCATAGGCTATTTTAAGCACATTTCCCACAAGCCCCGCTAGGAGGAGGAGAAGGGGAAAAGCAGCAGGAGCAGCAGAAGAAGGAGATGCCGCCACGGATGGAGTAATTTGACACCATCTTATCCGCCGCAGCCTGCACAGCTGCGGAGAGCGCGCCCCATGCCCAGGGCTTAAGGGATGCGCGTTCAAATCCTGGCGCCTGCTGCTGCTGCTGCGTTTAGCCAAAGGAGAGGCAGGCAGGCTTCTCCTGCCTCCGAAAGCGGAGGCCGGGCTACAGCGGGGATGCTCTGGCCGTGAGGAGCTTGCAGGGGCCATGGAGAACGACTTGGCTTCCGAGGATGACACCCGTAAGTGAAAGGGGTGCGGGCTGTGGAGGGAGGAGAGACGAAGCGGGGGGGGGTGGCGGGGGGGGGGGTCCGAGGCAAAAGTGGAGGAAGAACCGAGGGCTCCTCTTGGACTTCCCACCGACTTCCTCGCGCGTGGGGCGTCGCTCTGTATAATGTGGCCGGTGCTGGCAGTGCCACTGCGGTCGAAGGTTTAAGTTCCCGCCCCGAGGAGCGTGCAATCGGGGTTGCAATCGGAAGGGAAAGCGGCGAAATGAAAGGGGTTAGGGGTGGGATGCGTGGGGGGGGGTGACACTGGATAACTAGGGCTTCGAGGTGTGGGGGGGAGGGAGGGGGCCTCTGCTGAAAGCCTCCTCGGCGCGCTCCTCGTGGATGATCTAACCCAAATGGGCAGGAATTCTCCCGGAGCCCGGTCCTCGAGCCCGTTGAGCCGGGGCTCTTGCATTCCAGCTATTTGTGCTTTCTCTCTAAGACTCCTCATGTAAGAGTTGGGGCTTTTGTGGGGTTGTTGTTTGAGTGAGGATCAGATTTATTCGCCTGCATTAGGAACAGCCGATGCACGAAGTGGGCGCGCGCCTGCTGGTCCCCCTGGCGTACACGTGTAGCTGCACCCTTTGAGTTTTGGAGGAGGAGCTCCAGGATCTGGAGCACGGTCCATGTGGAGTAGGGAGAGTTCAAACCTTACACCCCGATTTCTCCCACCCTCTTCCGCCCCAAGAGCTACTTGCCCAGCTGCCCAGTGAGGTGAACGGGAGCTTACCTTTCAGTGTAAATAGCAAGTGTGCAGGGGGCTAATTTTCATCAGGACCACAGAGGGTTAAAAAAAGCCCTATCTAGCTGCATGCTGAGGTCCCAGTCCTGATTACACACCAATGGACGTGCACACACAGAGAGAAAAATAGCTATTTCAATAACAAGCTGCTGTTGGACTACATTTCCCATCATCCCTGAGCTTTGTCTTTGCTCTCAAGGAGTGAGTGATGTGAACTGATGCCCAACAACATCTGAATGTTACTGCATTGGCCACTCTGGCAGCCTCTTCAAAAAACAGTTGTTGGTGATTATTGCACAGATACCCATTGGTTAGCTAATTAATTGGGTGTCTGCGGTTTCTTCAATTTAAAAGCACTGTGATACCACTTTAAACAGCTATAAAGGTAAAGGGACCCCTGACCATTAGGTCCAGTCATAACCGACTCTGGGGTTGTGGCGCACATCTCGCTTTATTGGCCGAGGGAGCCGGCGTACAGCTTCCGGGTCATGTGGCCAGCAGGACTAAGCCGCTTCTGGCGGACCAGTGCAGTGCACGGAAATGCCGTTTACCTTCCCGCTGGAGCGGTACCTATTTATCTACTTGCACTTTGACGTGGTTTCGAACTGCTAGGTTGGCAGGAGCAGGGACCGAGCAATGGGAGCTCACCCTGTTGTGGGGATTCGAACTGCTGACCTTCTGATCGGCAAGTCCTAGGCTCTGTGGTTTAACCCACAGCTATAGCTTCCCCCAAATATTTATGCGAGCCGTTGCTTCTTAAGGGTGCCATGAGATGTTAGGAAACCTACCTATTTATTTATATTTATGTACTATTATTATTATTATTATTATTATTATTATTATTATTATTATTATTTATATATATACACACACACACTATATACATATACATATATATATATATATATATATATATATATATATATATATATATATAAAATTTATGTTTATATTTATATTTATTCCATACAACTTATACAAAGTATAACATGGGTGCCAGGCATCTTTTAAAATTTGGAATATACTTTACTGGTTCCAAAAACTGGAATAAATATATATATGTAAGAACAATAGTTTGGATCAAAACAATGGCCCATTTGGTCTAGCCTCCTGTTCTCACCGTGACTGACCAGGTGCCTCCATGTGAAGCCCAAAAGTGGCAGCAGCGTCCCCACTTGTGATTCTCAGCTGTTAGTATTAAGAGGTGCATTGTCTCCGACACTGGAAATAGCATATATCCATTGAAAGACCTGTAGAGTTGAAAAGGACCCTGAGGGATCAACAAGTCTAACCCTCTCCCCCCCCCCTTGTGATGCAGCAATCTCAACACATGGTCTCCCATCCAATCTGAAACCATATTGGGACCCTGCTTAGCTTTGCAAATGTGCTAGCAGTTTTATTGCTGCACCAGTATGTTTAGCTTTATTGTTATATGAATTTGTCTAACCTCCTTCTAAAGCCATCTAAGTTTATGTACAAGACCCACCCTTGATACATGACGTCTGCAGCAGGTACAGTCTTTAAGAACAGGAGAGCCCTGCTGGCTCAGGTCAATGGCCCATTGAGTCATAGAAGAGTATAGTTGGAAGAGACTCCGAGGTCATCTGACGCAACTCCTTTCAATGCAGGATTCTCAGCTAAAGCATCTGTGACAGATGGCCAGTCCCCTATTCTGTTCTCACAGGGGCCTCGCAGATGCCCCATTAGGAAGCCCACATGCAAGACCTGAGTGCAACAGCGCTGCCCTCTCTGCTTGTGATTCCCAGCAACAGGAATACAGATGCATACTGTGCAAGTAAGAATACAGTGGTACCTCGGGTTACAGACGCTTCAGGTTACAGGCGCTTCAGGTTACAGACTCTGCTAACCCAGAAATAGTACCTCGGGTTAAGAACTTTGCTTCAGGATGAGAACAGAAATCATGCTCCGGCGGCAGCGGGAGGTCCCATTAGCTAAAGTGGTGCTTCAGGTTAAGAACAGTTTCAGGTTAAGAATGAACCTCCAGAATGAATTAAGTTCTTAACCCAAGATACCACTGTATAGCCATTGTGGTGAGTAGCCATGGACTGCCTTATTCCTCATGAATTTGTCCCCATTAACTTCTCAAACTTAATCCGTTCTGGAAGTCTGTTCCAAAACCAAAGCGTTCCAAAACCAAGGTGCACTTTCCCATGGAAAGTAATGCAAAATGGATTAATCCATTCCAGACTTTTAAAAACAACCCATAAAACAGCACTTTAACATGAACTATCTAACTATCTAACGAGACCATGGATCCGTAAAATGAAAGCATTAAACAATGTACTGCAGTCACACAATCAATCAATCAGTAGCTGAACTGGGTTCCACACAGTCTCAAAAACAAACAAAAAAGAGCCACAAAAACACAAAATAAATAGCAAAAACAGACAGACCTCAGCGTAACACTCAAAACAGAAGTGTGGCAATCAAATAGGAAGCGTAACACTAAAAACAGAGCACATTCGGCATCTGAAAAAAGTTTGCAAACTGGAACACTTACTTCCAAGTTTGCAGTGTTTGGGTTCCAAGTTGTTTGAGTACCAAGGCATTTGAGGACCAGGGTATCACTGTATATAATATGAAGAGTGGATTATCCCAAAGGTGTCTCGCTCATTATAATTCTTAATAAAGCACCAACCTATTTGTTTATCCCAAAAGATAATCTTTATATAGTTTTATAGGTACATCTTACCAAATTCCTTTTGTTAATAACTGCTTTAAATCTGCTTCTTCCTGAAGCATGACTGTGAATTTAACAATAGTCCTCCCTCCACCACCCTTCCCCTCCCCCTCCCCATACGCTTTTTACAGTTCCCTTCAGTTGACTTTATACTTGTCTCACGGCTTTTGAAAACACAAGTAGGCAAGGGCATAAAGTTCCAGAAACCTGTGTGCTGTGTAAATCCACCCCTGCCCTGTCAGTGTCTGTGTATGTGTTTTATGAAAGCTGCAGTTTATACTACCTCTAGTTTATTATAACTTATAAGTACTAGTCATCCTGTGTAAATAAACATCTCTGTTTCACCTTGCTGATGGGCATTTCCTTCTAAAGCCCTCAGATCATACTTAGTTGTATTTTTATATATTCCTGTTCAAAGCTTGGATATTTCAATATTAAGTGGCTTATAGTCTTAAAAATAAATGTTTTTTGAGGGGTGCCGCAGCATCTGTAGATAGAGCTCAGAGGGACTCGCTGCCTCTGAACCAGTCAATGTTGATAATTCTGAGCGAGGTGGACCAATGATCTGGTTCAACCTGAGGCAACCCTTCTATGTTTCCTACATTCTGGCACTTTCTCCATTCCAATTTGGCTTTCATTGTGCTCAACATTCACGTTAGGGTGAGAAACTTTCTGCCCTATGTTGCTGTCTGTTGCCATGGAGGATGCCTGTTGGGTCTTTGTGCGAGTCCCTGATCTTTCTTTGCTCTATCCAAGGAGGCTTTGCTGGAGGCAGGCAATTCTGCTTCCGATGGCTTCCTAGCATGGGCCCATAACAGAATGATCCACCCTCTGAGACTGACTGAGGTCCAAGCTAACTGTGGTGGACCATCTGTTCCATCTGTTCAGCAGGCACCTCCTTGCAGTCAACAAGATGTACCCAGCTCCCCCTAGGATTTAATTTCTGTGTTTTTCCATCTTACAACCTGCACTGTAAACATCATTAACACCACCGTGCCCTGTTTTTCTTCCCAAGTGCTTCTTTCGGAGAAAGAGTTTCACGATGCGGCAAAGCGGAACAACACAGCACGGATGATTGAGCTGATCAAGAGAGGGGTGGATGTCAAGGCCAAGAATAATGTAGGTGCTTACAGGGGATGGGGTCCAGATAATGTTGCGGGCTCTTCCCCAGAAATCTGAATTGAGGTGATGAACCTTGTGTCCCTCTGGATGTTGCTGAATTACATCTCCCATCATCCCTTGCCCTTGGCCATGTTCACTGACGCTATCCGGGAACATCTTGATGGCACACAGGTTTGCCACATCTTATCTAGACCCTTCACGGTTGGAACACAGGGACGTTTTGGGTTGCAGGAGAACAAAACAAAACCAAGTACAATGGTACCTCAGGTTACAGACGCTTCAGGTTACAGACTCTGCTAAACCAGAAATAGTACCTTGGGTTAAGAATTTTGCTTCAGGATGAGAACAGAAATTGTGTTCCGGTGGCGTGGCGGCAGTGGGAGGCCCCATTAGCTAAAGTGGTACCTCAGGTTAAGAACAATTTCAGGTTAAGAATGGACCTCTAGAACGAATTAAGTTCTTAACCCAAGGTACCACTGTAGATCCAAGAACTCTGTCGTGAGACTTTCCCCAGTCTCCTTGAACAGCAAAGCTGAAATGGCGTCGGGAGGGAAAGGGACATCTTTTCTGTCGCCAAACTCTCCCTCCAGTGTTCTATATGCACTAAATGTAAAGGTAAAGGGACCCCTGACCATTAGATCCAGTCGCAGACTGCTCTGGGGTTGCGGTGCTCATCTCACTTTATTGGCCGAGGGAGCAGGCGTACAGCTTCCGGGTCATGTGGCCAGCATGACTAAGCCGCTTCTGGTGAACCAGAGCAGCACACGGAAATGCCGTTTACCTTCCCGCTGGAGCGGTACCTATCTATCTACTTGCACTTTGAAGTGCTTTCGAACTGCTAGGTTGGCAGGAGCAGGGACCGAGCAACGGGAGCTCACCCCGTCTCAGGGATTCGAACCGCTGACCTTCTGATCGGCAAGTCCTAGGCTCTGTGGTTTAACCCACTGCACTACCTGCGTCCCACCCTCTATATCCACTAAGCTAGCCCCAAAGCCAAATTAGCCCCAAATATATTTTTTAATTATTATACTGAGCATTTTTATCCCACTCTTCAGCCACAAAAGCTTCCAGAGCAGCTTACGAGACTTGCAGTGCGAAAGAGGTGGCACAAAAGGAAAAGGCATTAGGAGGGAGGAGGAAAAAGGACATCCAGAAACTATGAGCGCTTCTGAGGCTGGATTTAGGTTTGATTAGGTCCTAAGCTACTGAAGGTAATGGGGCCCTTTATATGTCCAGCTGTCCTCTGTCAACACCAAATTGTCTCTGTTTTTTGTGTTGAATATATGCTATATGGTAATTTATGGACCTAATAGGTCCATACACAACACAAAATGTTGCTGTATGTAGGTTTTATTTTATTTGCTTTTTATCTTTTCTTTTGGAAACGTACATCCGGTTGTTGTTTTTTCCTTTAAATTTTTAGGGGCCCCCCAAAGAGTGGGGCCCTAAGCTATAGCTTGTTTAGCTTATATGTAATTCTGGCACTGGGTGCTTCTAGGTTTATTGAGTGTTCATCCTGATTTCTTTGCAGAGAAGTTAGATGATGGAGCACATCCACACCACCTGAGTTCCTTGGAAGAAAGATGGATAGAATGTAAAATAAATGAATATTTAGTCGCAGAGGGAAGGCGTGGCTGGGGGGCACTGACAGCAGTTTGCCAGCACCCACCCACGTGTTCTGCATCCTTTTCTTCCCCCTACTTAACCTTGTCCTTCCTTTCCAGATAGACAGGACCGCTCTCCACTGGGCTGCAGGAGCTGGTCACGAACAGGCCGTCCGTCTTCTCCTAGACCACGATGCCTCTGTGAATGACGAGGACAACGTAAGCTTGAGGAGGATCTCAACTCTTGCATCTGTGCAAAATGCGGCTGGCCTCTTAAAACCCAGCTCCTTGGTTGCTATGAATGAGAACCTCCTCCAAGAAGCTTGCTTGGTTTATTTGTTTAGAATGTTTAGCCACCAATACAGGTGGTAAAATACAGGGAAGCGAAAAATGAATGTGTCATAAAAAATTAAGGTTCTTTTCAAAAGGCGGCAATGAATGATGGAGGCTCAGGGATAGCCTTCCTGAAACTGGTGCCCTTCAAATGTTTTGGGCAACAACTCCCAGCAGCACCAGTAGGGCAACTGGCTCTTCTGCATACGATGATGGTAGACGTTCACTGCCATGGACTTAACCAGCATTTTTAGAAGTGCTTCATACAAAGTACAAGGCAGTGAGTCACAAATGCTAAAATGCGATGTGACATCACTTTGGCAGCAGTTTATTACAGGCATATGCTAAACCAGGATGTATTTTTAGAAAAATACAACCAGGTCCCAGGGTCAGTCCCCAGCATCTCCAGGTAAAGGTAAAGGGACCCCTGACCATTAGGTCCAGTCGCGGACGACTCTGGGGTTGCAGCACTCGTCTCGCTTTATTGGCTGAGGGAGCCGGCGTTCAGCTTCCGGGTCATGTGGCCAGTTCACTTCTGGCGAACCAGAGCAGCACACGGAAACACCGTTTACCTTCCCGCAGGAGTGGTACCTATTTATCTACCTACTTGCACTTTGATGTGCTTTCGAACTGCTAGGTTGGCAGGAGCAGGGACCAAGCAACGGGAGCTCACCCTGTCGTGGGGATTTGAATCGCCGACCTTCTGATCGGCAAGCCCTAGGCTCTGTGGTTTAACCCACAGCGCCACCCGTGTCCCATCTCCAGGTAGGACCAAGAAATAATCTTGGTCTGAAACCCTGCGAGCTACTGCCAGTCAGTGTAGATAGTACTGAGTTAGATGGACTGAAAGGTCTGTCTCAGGGTAAGGCAGCTTCCTACATTCCTAGAAGACACAACCTTCTCCTAGGCAAATTGAGCAAGGACTAACTGCCATTTTATTCCAGACCCAAGATGACCTTTCTTCTGTCTCTCTCTGGCTACCCAGTTTGGGATGAACGCCCTCCTCTTGTCCGCCTGGTTTGGCCACCTCCGTGTCCTTCAGATCCTTGTCACTGCTGGTGCCAAAATCAACTGCCAAAACAAGGTATGGCATCATTCCTTGGCTCCCTGGTATTAACAGCTTTGTATGACACACAGAGAGAGAGAGATTCCTTTTGACTGCCTTTTGACTGCATGTGTGGGTTGATTGGAGAGTCTATAAATTTTAAAAGGTTTGAAATCTGAATAAGCAATTTAGGGTGTTTCCAGGCAGTCAGAGTGGTAGTCAACTCAATCTTACTGAGGGTAAAGTTAAGTAAGGTAAAGGGACCCCTGACCATTAGGTCTAGTCATGGCTGACTCTGGGGTTGTGGCGCTCATTTCGCTTTATTGGCCGAGGGAGCCAGTGTACAGCTTCTGGGTCATGTGGCCGGCATGACTAAGCCACTTCTGGCGAACCAGAGCAGTGCACGGAAATGCCGTTTACCTTCCCGCCGGAAGGTATTTATCTACTTGCACTTTTTTTGTGCTTTCGAACTGCTAGGTTGGCAGGAGCTGGGACCGAGCAATGGGAGCTCACCCCGTTGCAGGGATTCAAACCGCCAACCTTCTGATCAGCAAGTCCTAGACTCTGTGGTTTAACCCACAGTGCCACCCACATCCCTTTACTGAGGGTAGACCCACTGAAATTAATGGACCTACTCCAAGTAAAACTCAGTTGAATACTGCCCTCACTAATTTGCAGGTGGAATTCGTTGGAACACCAGCAAATTCAGGTTGCACTGTGACTGGCAAATTTAAAGGAAGATCCAAATGGTACAGTTAAAGCACATGGTGTCTCTCAAAGAATCATGGGAACGGTAGTTTCACCCTGACAGAGCTATGGTTCCCGTCAACCTTAAGCAACAATTCCCATGACTCCTTGGGGGAAGTCACATGCTCTAAATGTTTGTTGAGTGTGCTTTAAATGTGTGGTGTAGATCTTTCCTTGGGATGTACATTTGCAGTGGATTGGGGCTCTTGCATAGCAAACACGCTTCCCAAGAGAGCCTTGGACTGTCTACGCTAAGTAATGGTAAAATGCACTGGAAACTGGGGGATGAAAATTGCCTGGTGCATCATTTGTTCCACAAGTTCCTCTCTCCTTCCTGCCCCCACTGCCTGCCAGCCTAATGCAAATGTTTGCAATGACCAGTCTTAAACCCAATGGCCTTTATCGGATGCATGCAGTTCCTTTGGCCTGGGCTGAAACCACTCAGAGATGCATGTCTCCCAAGGCATGCGGAAGTGGCTGTGAAAGTAGCCTCAGAGCAGCTGGGGGCTCTTAGTAGGGAGCACCCAGTCGTCCTGTGTGGGCAGGTGATGTTTGCTCAGCGGGGCAAGTTTGGAACTGTGTACTGTAAAGCATACATAGCCGGAAGGGCAAGTCTGTATATTTTTATAATAAATAACTTAGGAGGAGTAAACATTAAATGATGGCTGTAAAAGATAATCATGGAGGATATTTTTGGCACTCAACGAGACTGTGGTGGCTGTAAAGTTCAGGGGAAAGTTCATGCAACTCCAAGGAGGAAGAGTTGACTGCTTTGTCCTCATCCGCCTCCATTCCTGGAATTCCTGTCTTCAATAAGTTCGTCATACTTCCTCTCTTAAAAATATATTGCTCAGGGATACTAGATCAGGAGTGAGGAACTCCTTGGAAGCCCAAGGGCTGCTTTTCTTTGTGGGCAAGCTTTGGGTGGTGGACCCACCCAGTGATGGCTGGGGCCAGAACAATAGAAGGAAATTGAATTTTATTATTTTGGTCACAGACCAGTTCCAGCCCACATACAATATCAAGGAAGTCATAAAACATGATAGAGATACATTTGAATTTGCAATTGGGTTTAATTGGACTGATGGGAGCTATACAGTGGTACCTTGTGTTAAGTACTTAATTCATTCCGGAGGTCCGTTCTTAACCTGAAACTGTTCTTAACCTGAAGCACCACTTTAGCTAATGGGGCCTCCCACTGCTGCCACGCTGTCGGAGCAATTCTGTTCTCATCCTGAAGCAAACTTCTTAACCCGAGGTACTATTTCTGGGTTAGAGGAGTCCGTAACCTGAAGCGTATGTAACCCGAGGTACTACTGTAGTTCAAAACAGTTGGTGTGTTAGGCCCACATCTCAGGAACTGAATCCTATTCCTTTTCCCCCCCTCCCAGAATGGTCGCAACTTGTTGCATTGCGCAGCCCAAAGAGGTCATATCAGGGTCATTGAGTTCATCATGGAAGACCTCGAGGATGTGCAGCTGGATAAGAAAGACAAGGTGGGAATTTTTCAGAACAGTCTAAGGCACTGGCTTTTTTTGTAAATAGTTCTTGTTTTTCAAATATGCAAATAGTTATCAGGTGGTGACTGGCTCAGTCACTGTGTGAGCTTCATGGCCAAGTGTGGATTTGAACCCTGGTCTCCCAGGTCCTAGTCTGACACCATAACCACTATAGCACAATGACTCTCACCCTTTCTCTCCTTAAAGATGGACAGGACGGCATTTCATCTGGCTGCTGAGAATGGGCAACTGGAGGTGGTGGACTTCCTGATTCGCTTAGGTTGTGCCTGTAGAATCAAAGACAAGGTATGGAAAGGAACAGGAATCAGCATCCCGTTCAGTCCAGTTGCTGTTGTCTGTGGGCCTCACCCTTCTGGGCTTTGCTTATTTCCCTCTCCATCTAGACTGGCCCTTAAATTATTGGTACTTTGAGAGGATTTCACCCACACATATTTCTATTGGATGTAACATTTGCAGGAGAAGAACACAGCGCTTCATCTAGCTGCCAAGAATGGTCATGCAGAGGTGCTGCAGAAGCTTATAGATGTAGGAATGAACCTTGATGAGAAGAATACGGTGAGTAGAAGACCTTTGCTAGTTTATTACGTTTATCTCCTCCTTTTCCTTCAAGGCACTCTGAAGTGATGGACATGAGGCAGGAGTTGATAATGCAGGTGAGCTGCGCACAGGTGAGCTGAAAGCGAGCTGCCGGCCAGCCCTGTGGAGCCTTCTTTTATTGAGACAAATATGCAAACCAGGCAGATACATTTTGGGCTGTGACCTTCACACATCTTCCGGTCCCAAGATAGTGGGGTGGTACAAAGTTATATTGGCACCTGTTTCCACCGCGTCATTTTCCCCTTGCACAGTGTATGACGAAGGAGACAAAAGGTCTCAGAGACAAAGGTTACAGACAAGGCACCGCAGACTACTGAGACTGCAAAAGGTTAGACAGAGGCAACGATGTTCAGATAGCCGTGGCTTTGTCTGTGAGGGGTGTGTGTGCTCCGCACCCCAAGGTCACGCATGTAGGCAGGCTGAGGCTGCCTGCGGGTGGGGAGTGTGCTCCCTCCAGACCCCACTCCCCACTCCGCGATCATCCCTACAGCACTCAAGGTGATGTACATAGTTGTCCTCCCCATTTCACCCTCACAACAACCCTGTGAGGTAGGTTAGGCTGGGAGATAGTGGCCGGCCTAAGGCCACCCATTGGTCGTTGTCCCTGAGTGGGCTACTGAACCAGGTGTGCTCAGAGTAGACCAACTGAAACACAACACACTTAAATTCCTGTGATTTCAGTGGATCCAACTAACATGGGGTACCACCCATGGCCTTGCGGGTCCTAATCTGACACTCTAACCACCCTTTGAGGAACATAGTTCACTCAGAAGGAAGAGTACACCATGAAGATGCCATACCCGTCAACTGTCCTGATTTAAGCAAGGCATCCCAGAATTACAGAAGCCACTCCAGCTTCTGATTGGATCACGAGATGTCTGGTTTTGGCTCCTGAAAATGTGTGACCCCGAAAGATGTGCATTTGGGGGGAGGGCGTTCTCTCACGAGATTCACCTGGCTCCCGCGAAAGTGCAGCCCTAAAGGTTTGCACAGAGCAGTTGCCCCAGGTGCTCCTCTTGCCCTTGAGCACCACAGCTCAGGTATGCCACTCTAGCAAGGAGCAGCCAGCTACAGGAGCAGAACCGTCAGCAGCAGCATGTGGACCCCAACAGAGGAAGAAAAATATGGTATGGGTAGTTGCCAAGGCTCTTCTCCTTCTGCCTCTGCTCCTGTACGCTGGGATGGTCAGAGGGGAGTGGAGTTGGGAGGTTGCTCTCTTGCTCATTCTTGGCCCTGAAAAACTCACATTTGGGGGGAGGCCATGCTCTCTTGCAAGTCACATGACTCACGTGGGCATGCGCCCCTGAAAGACAAATGTCAGGGTTTTTCTGTGAGGGATGTAGGAGGGTATGAGATGCATGAAGGTATTTGTGGAGGTGGAGAGGACAGCGGAGAAGGAGGAGGCGGAGTTCAGTCATTGATTGGCAGCAGTTTCTGGAGGAAATATATTGCCACCTCTTGGCCCAGCTCAAAAAGCTGAATGGCAAGATCGCTAAGGAGAGGGAGGGTACAGGAGTTCTCTTTTTGGCACCTCCTAAAAACATTTTTGTTTTTAGACATGCAGAATGTTGGTGTGTCTCAATCTGGTTTTTAGCTTATTGTTGGTTTTAATTATTTTTGAAAGTTTAAAATAGTTGTTTTTAAACTGATCATTACATTGTTTAATTATTTTTGTAAACCACTTTGTGGTTTTGTTTTGTTTTGCGCTATCAAATGGTATGTACATTTTATGAAATAATAAATAATTAGAAGTGCAATCAGGGTTCTCCTCTTCTTCTCCCTTCCCAGGAAGGGTTGAGCGCCCTGCACTTGGCTGCTGAAAATGGTCATCATGGCTGCATGAAGCTGCTCCTGGAAGCCGGCTGTGATGTCAACATCCAAACTCAGGTCAGTGGCTCTCACTGGAAGGTGATACCCATCTCAGCTCCCCTGAAGGAAGGATGCTGAGGATTTTTGGGGGAAGTTGATAAGCAATAAAATAATTGGGATTGAGTTAAGGCAAACTTGGGCCACATGGACAATCTCTTGTATTGTCTGAATGGTGTTTTCTCTCTCTCAGAAAAAGATGACCTGCCTTCATTATGCTGCACAAAATGGCTATGAGATCATGGCCAGGATCCTTATTGATGCAGGAATTCACACAGATACACTGAATTACGTAAGTAGCTCATTTGGTTGGGTACCACCTACAGCATCTTTGTGCCTCTGAGCAAAGAAAGGAGGAATGAGAGTCCATTGGGTCTGTTGAGTCCATCCTTTGTAAGTTAAGAAGGCTAAGCAGCTCAGCAGCCAAGCCATTGTTGTCTAGGATAGCTTTCGTCAACTGGCTCCCTCCAAATGTTGTTAGACTACAACTCCCAGCAACCTTCAGTTAGCGGCAGTGAAAGCTGGTTTAGGACACCCTTCCCCCAGCTTGCTGCCCCCTCCAGATGTTTTGGATCAGCCCCAGTCAACATGCCAGCTGGTGGCTGCTGGGAGTTGTAGTCCAAAGCATTTGGAGTGTACCAGATTGGGGAAGGTTGATCTGGTTCAAATCACGTATGTGATATTCCACCCCACAAGAACTTCTTGGCCTTTGCACCACCAGAGGGCTCTTAATACATAAGAACATAATAAGAACCTGGCAGCTGGATCCTGGTGCCCTTCTAGTCCAGCTTCTTGTTCTCCCTTTGGTCAACAAGATACTTCGGGGAGGCTCACAAGCAGAACAAGTGCTCTTCCCACTTACGACTTCCAGCTACTGGGAACAAGGCATCCTTCCTCCAACAGTGGAGGATGTAAAGTGCACCTGTTTAGCAGAAGCTAAGCTTGTCTCAGGTCTGGTCAAGTGGCTGGATGGGAGACCCAGTATTCACCACATTTTTATGGCAGAAGAAACGGGGGGATATTAATGTGCTGTGCTAAATCACCTGGCTCTTACTGAATTGGAACGACTTGTTTGGCTTTACATGCAAAAGGTCCGAGGGTCAACAAGGCAGTTGGAAAAATATATACTAATAAAGCTGTACTCGACAGTTGAAAGTATATGATGTTTGACATGATTGAGAATCGTGGACCCAGGGACAGAGAATTATAAAGCATCAAAATCGAGATGTGGAAAACATGGAAACAACAAGGAGAGGCAGGACTGAGATGTGGAGATATGCTTCAGAAATCCAGACCGTGGGGAGCTCCAAAAAATTAATAATTATAATTTGGACTATAATTTGGGTTTTTTATTTTAGTTTTTTATTTTAATTGGAGTATTATGATTGGATATATTAATTGGATGTTTTTAATTGAAAAATCAATAAAAATGATTTAAAAAAACAAAAGGTCCGAGGACCAGTTCCTGACATTTCCAGTGAACTGTAGCTCAGTGGTAGAGCAGCTGCCTTGCATGCAGGTCCCTGGTTCAATCCCCAGCATCTCCAAGCAGCTCTGAAATTCTGGAGAGCTGCTGCCCGTCAACGTTGACAATGCCGAGCTAGATGGAACAATTGTCTGACTCGGTATAAGGCAGCTTTGTTATGTTCCTAAGAGGTAGGAAGGCTAAGAAAGGCATCCTCTTGAGAACTTGGAAGGGACAAATACTGTGTCTCCATACAAAGCAGCTTCATATAATGCTGCTTTCCATTGCTACAGTTTCTGAGGGAATAGTTATGTCAGTCAGTTGCATCAAAAACAAGATGTTAAAGCAGCTTTTCCCAAACTTGACTCTCCAGCTGTTTTTGGACGACAGTTCCCATCACCCCTGGCCACTGGTCCTGCTAGCTAGGGATGATGGGAGTTGTAGTCCAAAAAACAAAAGGAGACCCAAGTTTGGGAAACCCTGTGTTAAAGAATATATGGCCATATATTGATGGCCTCTCTGCCTTCAGGCTTTTAGCCCTAAAACCTGTTTCCAGTGTCAGAGCAGAATGGGTTCCTTTGCACACCTGCAGAGTTCTGTACCTGTTCCATTCAATAATCCTGTCATGTTAAGAGACAGACCTTCTAGCTCAGAGGATGTACCTTAGAAGGCAGGCTTCCCTCCACTTCAACTGTACACAAAACTATCAGTGTGCTTCATTTTACAGCAAAATGCATCAGCTATGCACATTGCGGTGCTACAGAATCACCCAGCCATCGTTAAACTCCTAATTGATGCTGAATGTGACCTGGATATCCCTGATAATGTAAGACTTTTATTTTTAATAAATAAACTGTATGGTTTCATGCTATTGATACACGATCTACATGTCCCAAATGTTAAGAGACCACCAGTGCTCCACCATAGAGTAATAGGCCCTCATTAATACTAGCTCCTTATTTTCTGTTTTTACTCAGAGGCAGCAGAGCCCACTGCATATTGCTGCAGAGCATGGGAGACAGGACATTGCTGAGATGATTCTTATCGCTGGGGTGAACTTAAAACTAACAGACAAGGTAAATAATTCCATCGCAGACAAGTAGCACCTTCTCAGTCATGGTTGGAATAGAATGCAGGCAATCAGCATACAGATATTTGAACGGAAACATTAATATTATTTTGAACTTCAGAAGAAATTGAAGGCAGATGACACTCAAAAGAAGTTTTAATAAAGAAAAGAAACCATGTGATTCCCAGGAACTGGAATTCAGTGGTATGCCATCCTGATTTGTAGGCATTGATAGCCTTATGCTCGAGGTATCCACCTCACCTCTTTTTAAAGCCATCCACGTTGGCAGACACTACTATGTCTTTGTGGTGGGGAATTCTGTAGTTTAGCCAAGCGCTGTGTTATTTGGTTAGTTGGTATGTTTTCATTTGTTGTCTATCCTGAATTGCCCACCATGGTTTTTGCCAGAGTCTTGCAGAGGAGCCTTGCAGAGGAGGAAAGCAGAGCAACATTTTTTGCCATGTTGCAAAGGTAGAAATATCATGACCGGGCAATGGACCAAGCACATTAGGCAGCTGTCATATGACTGTGCATGGGTGAACGAACCCCAAACAACAGGACCTTTCTCTCTCTCCTCCTTCCAATTGGATTCCTTTTTTCACTTGCTGCAGGGAGCTTATGAAATTTGCCTGGTCCCCTGTTCTAAATTTGGACAAAAACACATTTCCCTCCCTGAAGCAATTCCTTGCAGGTTGCTCTCCAGAAGCTTTAAAATAATATATATATATATATATATATATATATATATATATATATATATATGCAGGTTTTGGTGTCCTCGGGTGTCTTCCCGTGTAAAAGTTGGGGTGTCTAGGCGACGTTTCGACGAGGTCTCACTCGTCATCTTCAGGCTGGTGCTTTCGGCTTCTTGTTACTGGAACAGAGCAGGATCTCAGTGTTTGAGTTCCTATAAATACTGTTGAGGGGGTGTGGTGTATAGCCTCCAATGTTCTGGGCAGAGAGGAAGTTCCCAGGCTAGTGTGCCTTTTCTTCTTTTGTTCCTTAATTACTTGAGGGATATCTTGAGTGATTTCTTGAGTGATATTCTGAGTACCACTTAGGTGGGTCATTAGGTGTGGATTAGTTGCTCAAGCCTTCGTGTCCTCTCTGCCCAGAACATTGGAGGCTATACACCACACCCCCTCAACAGTATTTATAGGAACTCAAACACTGAGATCCTGCTCTGTTCCAGTAACAAGAAGCCGAAAGCACCAGCCTGAAGATGACGAGTGAGACCTCGTCGAAACGTCGCCTAGACACCCCAACTTTTACACGGGAAGACACCCGAGGACACCAAAACCTGCATTCCTGTACCCGTGAAAATCTACGAAAGCAAATATATATATATATATATATATATATATATATATATATATATATGTATGTATTTTAAATTTCTGGAGATATATTACAAGGTCATATTATGCATCTCTCATCAGTGGAAAATGGGCTATATATATATATATATATATATATGGCAGAAGTCAAACCACTTGAAGCTTTCTTCCTTACAGTCAAGTGGTATATAATTTTATGAGCTAAATCCTGTTTGTTCATTTAAGAAAGTGATAAATGCATTAATGCTGTTGTGAGATTATTGCTGTTAGATCTGGAAAGCCTATCCAGACACATAGTGGCTGATGTGTTTTCGACTTGTCTTATTTTAATGGTCTTTTACATGTTTTTAATTACCGTACTTGTTTTTAAGCTTTTTATCGATAATCTTAATATTCATTGTAAAGCACTTAGTGGTTTTATTACCATCAAGCGGTATATAAGTTTTGCTAAATAATAAAAAAATAATGTTTCCTTCTCCTGCTCTTACCTTTGATTTCAGCAAGGTAAAACATCCCTAGATATTGCTGCACGTGGCAACCACATCAACCTGGCTGACATGATCATCAAAGCAGACAGGTTTTACAAATGGGAAAAGGTAGGTGGGCATTATGGAATATCCAAACATTCATGTAAACAGTGGTACCTTGGAAGTCGAACAAAATTCGTTCCAGAAGTCCGTTCGACTTCCAAAACGTTTGGAAACCAAAGCACGACTCCTGATTGGCTGCAGGAAGCTCCTGCAACCAATTGGAAGCTGCAGAAGCTCTGTTGGACGTTCGGGTTCCAAAGAATGTTTGCAAACCAGAACACTCTCATGCAGATTTGCAATGTTTGGGAGCCAAAACGTCCAAGTACCAAGGCGTTCGGGATCCAAGGTACGAGTGTGTGTGTGTATCTATCTCTATCTCTATATCTCTATCCTCTATCCTCTATCTCTATCTATGGGCTTGTGGGTATGGAATGTTCACAGATAAAGCAGCTGAAGGGAAAGGTGTCAGCAACAGAATGTTGATAAGCAGTGCAGGTGCTATGAACGAAAGGAGAGGTCAGTATGGCTGAAGTAAAGATGACGAAGAAGAGTGTGCTCTTGGCAAGGGCAAAGCATGTGATGAGGTGGCCATGTGTCCTTGCTTTACAGAGGATGGTCCTCTTTTTGAAGATCTATCAGAGGCAGCCTTATGTTTAAAGGTGTCTTCCATTTGAATGGCTGTCCAGTCTAAATGTGAAGATAAAGAACTCTAAGGCAGTAGAAAAGGAAAGGGGGCCTTGAAGTTGCCCATCAATGGTTAGAAGCACCAGGTAAAAGGTAAAGGTAAAGAATCCCTGGATGGCTAAGTCCAGTCAAAGGCGACTATGAGTTTGCAGCAGTCATCTCGCTTTCAGGCCGAGGGAGCCAGCATTTGTTCAAGACAGCTTTCCAGGTCATGTGGCCAGCAGGACTAAACCGCTTCTGGCACAATGGAACACTGTGACGGAAACCAGAACACACGGAAACACTGAATACCTTCCCACCACAGCGGTGCCTATTTATCTACTTGCACTGGTGTGCTTTCGAACTGCTAGGTTGGCAGGAGCTGTGACAGAGAAACGGGAGCTCACCCCGTCACAGGGATTCGAACCGCCGACCTTCTGATCAGCAAGCAAACTCAGCAGGCAGGCACCTCCTTCACTCTGCACCCCACTTAGAGCCATCATAGACATCTTGGAGAAAACATTTGTCAGTAGTAGGGGGAATTAAATTTTGGGGGGAAATTCAAGTTAGCAGCAAATCAGCTCTTGCTACTTTTTTTGTAGGATAATCTGAACAGCGACTCCGACTCCTGGGTAGCCAAGCACTTAACCTTCAAGCAGGACCACCGGATGGAGACGCAGCACATCCGCTCCGTCATGTGGAGGCTTGCGACCAAATACCTCAAACCCAACGAGTGGAAGAAGCTGGCACATTACTGGAAATTCACCGAGGCTCATATCAGAGCCATTGAGCACCAGTGGGCAGGTAGGTCGGTTGCTCAGACGAAGCACCTGCCCGTACACTTTTAGGAAGAGTGTTTCCCAGCTCCTACCTACCTGGAGATTGAACCAGGAACCTTCTGTGTGCAAAGCAGTTAACAGCCTATCCCCGATCACTCACACAGAAGGCATGTAGGAGGGCTTTCTGAGAGGCTCCCTGCTGCCTCTCTGCATGAGTCACTGCTGTGGACTTGCCCGCTGCCAATGGAGGGCTTCAACTTAGGCAGAAAGCACAGAGAGTGGTGCTTTGAGGCCAGCTTAATCCCAGTGCCCGAGTGTGTAAACAGTAAAACTTTGCCCCTCACCGATCAAAATGTTTGGGGAACACTTTTAAAGACAGAATCAACAGCCTGATATTAGAAGCAAATTTGTGAAGTAAGGAAGAGGTGCTTGGAGGTTTATGAAAGGAACCCCCCTGCCTTCTCAAACAACTGCTCTCCAGGATCTGCCTTTGCCAACCTTGGCCACATTTACACAATATATACTTAAAGCACTATGGTAACTTAACAGTCATGGCTACCCCCAAAATAATACTGGGAGCTACCATTTGTTAAGAGTGCTGAAGGTTGTTAGGAGACCCTTAGTCCCCTCACCAAACTACAGTTCCCAGAGTTCCCTGAGGTGATTGTTAAACCACTCTGGGAATTGTGGCTCTGTGGTGGGAATAGGGGTCTCCTCACAACTCTCAGCACCCTTTGACACACTACACTTCCCAGGATCCTTTGGGGGAAGCCATGACTAAACAGTGCTACCATACTGCTTTAAATGTGTGGTGTAAATGTGGCCCTGGGGTTCTCCAGCTGTTTGGTCTCTCATCAGCCTCAGCCTTATAGCACTGTAATCCAAAACAGCTGGAGGACACGGAGATGGTGACAGCTGTGGTAGATAGTATTCTCCCAAGGTGGTGAGCCATGTCCCAAACTGTAGGCATTTTTCCTATAAGAATGAATGAATCTGGTTGTGACTGTTTCAAGTCAAGTCCACAGCTAACCACTCTTCACACTTATGCCATAAGACACTACGAAGCATTTAAGGGTCTTTGTATATGTGTGTGTGCCTGCTATCCCCCATTCTTCTTTCTAGGCAGCAAAAGCTACAGAGAACACGGTCATAGGATGTTGCTTATTTGGCTCCATAGCGTGATTATGGCAGGGGAAAACCCAGTCAAAGGACTGTATGAAGGCCTGGTGGGCATCGGAAGAAGAGACTTGGCAGGTAAGGGTCACCTGGCTTTGCATCTTTATCAGTGTCAGCTGAATTTTATCCTGTAAAAAGTAGGCATGCTTAAGCCTCGTTCCTTATTGTTCAGGAAATGTGTTGTACTGTTTAGTGTGTTGCACTAGGAAGTGCGCGATCCGGGTTCAAATCCCTACTGGCAACCTTGGGCAGTCACTGCCTCTCGGCATAACTGACCTCATAGGGTTGTTGTGAGAATAAAATGGGGGTGGGCTGGGGGTGGAGAACCATGTATGACACCTTGAATTCCTTGGAAGAAGAGTATTGTTATGTATGCAAGAAATAAATAAAGGCTACCACTCAAAATCTCTCGGAAAGAATTCAGACTTCTTGTTCAAGCCTAGTTTAGCATAGATGGCTATCAAGAAATCTGAAGGACGTAAGAACTGCACTTTGTTTTCAAACAGAAAGCATCAGGAAACAGGCGAATGCAGACTCCACCTCACCAAGGAAGTGCACTGCGATGTGATACCAGTAAGAGCACAGGAAACCTCCTGTTTTCGCTGCTTCAGAAGTTTCACGGTGGAGCCACAGCAAGCAAAATGGACAATTCTGAACTGTTGGTCAGAAGGTATCCATAAACTCTTTCTCCAAGGGCTTCTTGCCATAGCAAATGGCAACCGTATCCACTATCCACTCAAGATCAGGTAACAATGCACATCAACAGGCACTGCTCACAGCAATGCATTCTTTATAGTAAAGAGAAGGCACGATTCTCAAAACATGGGAGACCAGGAAGTGAAATATACACCATATTTTCCAGATCTAAATCTAAGGTTACAATCTCAAGTTCCGGGATGGCCCAGGACGTTTTGCCGCTTCAGGAAAACTCGCCACTGCACCCAATCCCTCTCCACAGCTGTACCCTGCCTGTGACAGAGGTGGGTTTGTGGCAACCACGTAGGAGGCAGCAATGGTGAACAGCATGCTCTTCGATCTCAGTTAGGCCATCAGAGGCAACTGTCTTCATGGCTGGGCCAGCCCTGCTTGAGTAAACCTTGTTAAATCAATATAAATTACTGATCAGCAAATGCTGTTAAGAGCGTAATGGGACATGCATAACAATGTTTCTCAGCTGGAAAATCTCACTGTGAAATAAGAAAACTCTGCAATTCTCCCGGTTTTTCTAAACGCACCTCCATTGTGGTAGGGGCAGGTACGATTGCAGGGAAAAAGCTGATTTAAGTTTCACTAAAGAATGATGGCATCTCATGTTCCACCATTGGAGACTGCACGGAGAGAGACGCCTAGAATTCTGCTCTTGTGCCAGTCAGGTGCTAGCGAGCCACATTTATTTCTCAGTGTAAGCTGTTTACATTTCTCCCATGCAGGCATACTTTTTTTAAAAAAACAAGAATTTTATGAAGAAGCCCCACCCACCCTTGGACCTCTCTCTGTGCAAAAAAGCCAAGCACACTATTGGGCCAGAGTTAAGTGTTTGTTAGTTCCATGGACTCCAAGAAATACAATTAGATGCATGCTTACTTTGGGTTGGATTGTGGCCTAGGTTAGCAGATCTTTTTCCAGTCTGAGGACTATATTCCCTCCTGGACAACCTCCGGGGACCCTTTTGCCAGCGGCAGGCAGGGCCAGAAGTGAAAACTGGAGGCCCAAGTGTGACACCAGGGTTGCCCTATTTCAAAAAGTGAAAATCTAGACACAAAAGGTGTAAAGCTTTTGTGTGTGTGTGGCAAAGTTATGAGCTATCCAGGGTTTCAACAGGGGTCTCTCCTCTCCTCCACCCTGGAGACTGAACCTGAGACCTTCTGCAGGCAAGACAGATGCTCTAGCAAGGGTCCTTCTACTGAAGAAAACACATCTTTTCCTTTAACTCTTATGGAGTATTTGTGTGTCTGCAAACAGATGCCCCAGCTGCATGCTTCTCAAGCACAAGAATGCCCTTTGAGTGTTACAGCAGAAGACGAATCAGCCATTTATTTTATGTTCTTCACGAAGCAATTTCATTTGAACTTGGATGGAGCATGAGACTTCAGTGCCTAATAAACAGTGGGCAGCTACCTCATGCTTTTTGCACCATGTCCCCTCCTCCCCGAAGGAGTAGCTTGACTCAGTCCATGTGAAATATACTAGGGTTGACTTGATTTAGAACTGCATACTAAGAACCAAAGCCAATACTTTGGTAATCCATGCTTAACCTCTTATTTTTGTACACCTTAGAGCAGAGGTGGAACTTTGTAGCCCCCCCCCCCGAAGTTGATGGACTCCAACTCCCATCGCCCTTGACCCATCAGGCCATGCTGGCTGATGGGAGTTGAAGTCCAACAAAATCAGGAAGGACACAGGTTCCCTAACTTTTGCCTTTGAGCTATGCATATGGAAAGAAAGCTGGATAGCCAAATGCTCCTCCTCAGCGTATCAACAGCTACAAGTTCACTGAAAGGAGGAGTTATCAGCTTCAGATTCTCTACAGTGATTCTTGGGGGCCAACCACGGCCCAGGGTTCATTCCAGTCAGCACAGATAGGATGGTCACCTCTTTGTATTTAGCAACAGTATACTTTTCTTAAACTTGTCATGAAGTTTTGTATTTTTAAAAAAGTGCAAGCATAACATCTGGTTTTCAAATAAACTTATTTTTTTCCCCTTAACCATCCCCCCCCTCTTTTTTTAATTAAACAGAATCATCGTATCTCCTCAGATCCTGGGGTAATCACTAAATTGAGACGTTTGGGCTATTTGAAGTGTATTTATGGTACAGATCAGACTTTGTGAAGCTGGTGCCCTCCATGTGACTCCCATCAGCCCCAGCACATAATGGCTAAGACTGATGGGAGTTGTGGTTGAAAATACCCACAGAACACTCAGTTAAATGAAGCCTGATAGTCTTATATTTAAAATTCAAACAGTACCAAATATATGTTTATAGCTGTGTAGGCAGCACAGTTACCATGCACACTCCTGTTGATGGCAGAGGAGCCTTTTTTCCTAAACTGAATTTTTATTCAAAAAAAATTAGAAAGCAAGACAATAAAAAACAAATGCGTTATAATCTCAAATTAAAGCATTAACTGGCAACCATATAAAAGAAAAATAATAATAGGAATATTGGCACTTCAACAGAGTTTTTTAAACTAAATATCCTATGAATTGTAAGTGAACTTGCAGACATACATAATTCACTCATGATACATACATCCCCCTCTCTGCATGGATATATAAGATTATCCTCTTTAAGAACACAATCGTGAAGGCTTTGGTAGCAAAAGTTCATCTCAGACTGTTGTTTCTAAAACAAGTCATCCAAAGTGATACCCTTAACTCTTTTTTAATAATCTGAATTCAGCTCATTTAAACTGATGTGACCGAGTGTCCGTAGTTGCATTTCATTTAATGAAATCAGTCCAACCTATTTTAAAGGACACAGTTCTAACCGGTTAAGTACTAAGGAATCAAGGCAAACTGAAAAAGATGCAATTGGATGGGAAGACTTCCAAAAGAAGAAGAAAAGGATAAGACCCTCTGGATGAAGAGATTCTGCAAGTCCCAAGGACTATGACTGCTGCTGCTGCTGCTGCTGCTCTTGCTCACTGCTGGCCTGGAGATTGGCTTTCTGGACTTCAAGTTCTTCTGCGCTGACCATGGAAGGGTCAATTGCGGCATATCTAGTACCGTGGAATTGAAGTAGGTGGATCTACAGAATAGAAAAATAGGCAAAGTGGCACATATTCACCCTTTCCTGTAAGTCGCAGCATTCTGTGATTATTTGTTTCATAGAATGCATATACCACTTGACTGTAAAAAACAACAACCTCACAGCAGTTTATAAAAAGTTTTAAAACATTTAAAAAGTAGAATCAGTGATCAACTGATTGGCATTCTACATATCTGAGGTGGTTTGTCTTAACAGGAATGTTTTCAGTAGGCACTGAAAAGAGCCCAGTGAAGGTGCTTGCCTGGTGTCAATAGGCAGGGAGTTCCAAAGTGTAAGGCACTGTCGCACTAAAAGATCTAGTTCTTAAATGCAGAACGAATATTATATGGCGCCTGTAACAGTGCTTGTTCCACTTTAAAAAAAAGAGAGAAAACCAACCACTGCTGGTGCAAGCTCCACAAGTTTCACACCATCTGAAGGGTTTGCGGTCTTCTAGGAAGAGGCAGGAACCACTCCCAGAGGCAGCACAAGCCAAATGGAGTCAGCTCTATGGAGCAGCATATTTGAACAATGCCAGGCATCTCCATATAACAGCCAAACTCCAAATGACTCCAGGAGAGGAACATTTGGCAGTGCCACAAATCTTCTATTACCCTGTGTTTGGCGGTGGCCAGAGGGGGGGGGGATATTTTCTTAAAACCCATAGCAGCGTTCCTGCAGCCCAATAATAGAAACCTCTTGACCTTCCTTCCTTTTCTCTCCTTCATGCAACATGTCTGCCTCCATCGGATGGGGATTTGTAATAACGCCCCCCCCCCCAGCTTTACTCATCCTTTGATAATCCGTCAGCAATGTTAACACCACAATGCTTGCATAAACCCCTTTGGCAATGCGGGCAGAGCTCTGTGGTTTCCAAACAACAGCTGAGAAATTTAAAGCTACAGACTTACTTGGACGTAGAGGTTTACTTCGGCACTCCTGCAAAGATATGGGAAATTGCCCCCTGTCTTGAGGTGAGCTCTCCTAGCATTGGGGTACAGCTTATACATCTCTTCTTTTGCTTCGGTGGAAAGAGCACTCTGGTCAAACACCTAAAAAAACAAGCATTCCATGCTAAGAACTGCCTGTAGATCCCATGCATTCTAACAGAGAGAATTTTTTTCTGTTTCGAACAGGGGTGGCACTCTACATTGTCAGTGAACCACAGCTCCCATGATCCCTCGCCACTAGCCATTGGAGTTCAGCAACATTTGTGGGGGCACAGGTTAGCCACTTGTGCTTTGGAAGTTCAGCTGTGCAACTCAATCTGCTGCTGACTGTCAAAGGGTCCTTGATAGCTCAGCCAGTAGAGCATGAGACTCTTAATTTCAGGGTCATGAGTCCCAGATGAAAAAGTTGCAACTGAAAAAGGTCAACAGCACACAGCTTTTAGTGGGGGGGTGGGAGAATAGGTAATGCCAACTGACCTCAAGCCCCACGCTTCCTACACCTTAGTTAAACTCTCCTTCTGTATTCACTTTTATGTGTTACGTTTGATGCCAGAGAAGGAGTTGTGCTGAGCCATCGCTGTGTTGAAGGAACATCCACTTCCAAGATGTTTGTTTACTCTGAAAAGCTCTGCAAACAGCCCACTATAAATTGCTACAGATTATGAAATGATTCTGCCCTGACAGTATCTGTCGTTTATAAGTAGTACTATTATCCCACCTCTTATAACTGGAGAAAGTAGTCCTATAGGGACACAGCTATGTTTTAAAAATAGGCATGCTCTCGCTGATGTTCTCTCCATTTCCCAAACTGGACCTTGCATCTTCCTAGAATGATGCTAAATAAGTGTTCCTCTACCAATCCCACATCCTAAATAAGAGGTAACTTACATCCATGATAGTCACAGGAATGTCTCTGATTTTATGAGGTTCCACGTAGGAATTTTGGCAGTTGAGGGTAAGTCTTGAAGCGAGCTCACTCTGACCCAGGCTTTCCAGCTTTCAGGAAAAATAAATTAATTCAAAAGAAGGTTGTGAATTTGTTTCAAGGCAGGGCAATAAAGAAATAACCAAGCTTATCACAACATCTGGGAGTTTGAAGCACATTTGCCCCACTCTTCACAGCCAAAGAGGCTCCCAGAACAGTCATAAGCAAGAATAAGTTTAAAAAGGACAAACCATGCCTAAAGTTTAATGTGCAAAAGACATGGCACTGAAGGAAGAAAGGATGAAGGAAATAACCAATATTAGATGGGATTTCAGCATGCAAATCTTAAAGCAAAGTCATACAACTGGGAATCCTCACCCTATCAACCATGAAATCAATGCCATCAGCCATTTCGGTATCTACAGGACCAGATGCAAAATTCCCAAGGACAATTTTCTTCAGCATGAAGGCAGGCATTAGCCAAAAGCTGAAAAGAGAATTATAGAAAGGTCAAAAATTTTGTCGCTTTCTCCTTCCTCTAGGAGCACTGGATTGTCATGAGAAACATTTTGTATAAACTGTGCAAACGTTAAAACACAAGACATACTGAACTCCCTCGGCATTAAAGCATGTACTTGTGGCTGCCTGCATTAATACAACAACAGAAGGGATTTTTTCTATATATATATCATAACATTTATGGGCTTCAAAAGCTAATTCTAAGAAGTGGAGCAGTTCTTCATTTTTTAAAAAAAAATGCTTTGCAAAGGCCAAGCTGTATTTGCCATAACTCTACCTAGCCCAAAGTTCACAAACAGTAGGCAGGAAGTGGCCCTTACGCCCATCTAAAACCTATATGTTTTGCCTACATACATCTCTCACCTGTTTGCCGTCCATGTCTGGTTGAAAATGGAAGTGTCGCTGAAAGCGTTGCACAGAATCAGAGACTGGACTCTGGGAGACTTGTGAGTGTATTCAGCAAATTTCTGAGCAAGGAAGCCCCCCAAGGAAGCACCAAAGACGTGGACCTAATTTTAAAAGTAAAAGATACCGCAATAAATAACAGCAACATCCTTTGGCTAACTATTTTTATTAAGGCATTTTGTATTACGTTGTGCATTCAAAAGCACTTGAAAGCTAGGCCAGTATTATGATTGTATTGCAGGTGGAAAGTGGAAAGAGACTGGCTTGCCGAAGACTATCTGGTGAGAGTCAATGACAGAGATGCATTTTAAACCAGGTGGTTTCTCATTCATACTTTGCTCTTAAGGACTACGCCAGGAGTAGCCAATGTGGTGCTCTCCAGATGTTGTTGGACTGCAACTCCTATCATCCTCAACCACAGGCCATGCTGGCTGGAGTTGGTAAGAGTTGGAGTCCAACAACATCTGGAGGGCACCACCAAGCTGGATTTGCACTACAACAAACCACAGGGGTGAGGAACCTTTTTCATCCCAAGGGTTGCATTCCCTTCTGGGCAACCAGGACAGTATAGTAGCCTGGTTTCTTTACACTCACACACCCCATCCTCCATCTAGGCAAGCAAGAGGCACTATTACAGTTCAGTGAAATATTCCTGCCAAGTAAAACACTCAAGGGGTGAATCAAGACCAGTGAAGTGTGTGGCTTGGGGAGAGTGCCAAGGGCTGGCTAGAGAGATTTGGGGGCATCGCAACCAGCTCCTGGGCCTGCGGTTTCCCAGGCCCTGCTATAATCGCTCTCATGGTATTTTGTAGAGAAAGTTGTTCCGAATAAGATTATCCTCCCCATTTGGGATTTCCCAAAATTTATCAACTACATTCATAGACAATGGTCCTCGCAGAAATAAAGTAAGGTCTACAAGACAGAAACATATTTCCATTTTTCTATAAATCACCCTGGGGCCTTTTCAACGAAAGGTGGGCAGGGGGTATATAAATTCAAAAATAACTTATACTCTTTCACACACAGCTTATGCAAGCTTCCATTCAACAGATATTATAAACCATTTTAGAGAAAATATATTTTGGAAGATTTATTACAATTTAAGAACAGCCAAGTCCTACCCAGAATATGCTGTTTACTTAGAAAAGGTCCTGGAAAAAAGAGCAACAAAAAAATCAATCAATGGGGTTGGAAAATAACAGGAGAGGGCTCTCCTTTGTTGGAGCAATTAAGGTTATTCTGAATAAACTCTAGGCTTTTTACCTAACATTTCTATTGTAAGCACAGGCTATTTGTCAATCTCAGGGCACTAACTTTATCCAGCTGTAGATGGTCTAATAGTTTTCTGAATCCATCGCAGAACTCAAAAATTTCCCAGTAAACTGGATACTGCAGCTAAGATTAGAAAGGTAGGTTAACAATGGTGACATGAACAAAGACAAAGATGTAAAAACATGCATTTTAACCCTCTTCACCAGTAAGAATTTAAGAACCAGCTAGCAACTTAGACACCTGCATTGTATATGGGGAAAAGCCCACCTTGTACGAGGTCAAAGCATACTATGAAGCAACCTGCAGCCCTTCAGATGTTGTTGGGTTCCCATCAGTCTCAACTAGAGCAGTCAACTGTAAAGCATTATGGCAGTTGCCATCCAACAAGATCTGGAGGGCCAAAAGTTTCCGTACCCTTGTGATAAAGCAAGCTCGGCTGAAAACCCATTATTCTCCACATTATTCTCTGCCATCCAAGTCTGGATTTTTCAATATTCAATGATTACCGTATTTTTCGCCCCATAGGACGCACCGGCCCATAGGACGCACCTAGTTTTTTTGGGGGGGGGAAAAGGGGGGGAATTATTTTATTTCCCCCAGGCGCGGGGCTGGGGCGGGGGATGCCCGAGCTTCCCCCGACCCCAGCCCCCAGAACAGGCTGCTATCGCAAGCCTAGGGAGCCCGGCGGGAAGTCGCGCCGGTCTCCCCAGGCTTGCGGATATCTGTCCCCGAGCTTGTGGGGCTGGCGGTGGGGAGAAGCGTGCTTCTCCCCAGCGCCAGCCTCCAAACCAGGTCAGGGAATAGTGGGATGGTGGTGCTCCGCCTCCCCGCTGTCCCCCAAGCTTGTGGGGCTGCCCGATATCTGCACAAAGCCCGGGGTGCGCTGTGCAGTGCGCCCCAGGCTTCGGGATGCAGGCTGCTATCCGTAAGCCTTGGGAGCCCGACGGGAGCTCCCAACCCCTCTCGCTCTCCAGGCTTCAGCGAAAGCCTGCATTCGCCCCATAGGACGCACACACATTTCCCCTTCATTTTTGGAGGGGGAAAAGTGCGTCCTATAGGGTGAAAAATACGGTAATTTTTCATTTTTAGTTTTACCCACTAGCCCCATGGTTCCCAACGGGGCAATTTGATTTTTAAGGGGGGCAATTCAAGAATGAGTTATCAACAGTTAATGGCCTTTTAGTCTTCTTCCACATGAATAGGAGTTCACTTTTTGAATAATAAGAATTATATGTCATTGGGGGGGGGGCACCAGGATTTTAGAGATGCTTAGGTGGGGCATGGCCCAAAAAAAGTTGGGACCCATTACACTAGCCCCTAGCCTCTTAAAGTTTTACTCACTGGCCTCTGAAAGGCAGCACTAATAGGGGGGGGAATGCACAAGTTTGCACCCCCATCTACGTTTCAAAACAATTTCATTAGATGTAGTTACAGAAAAAGTCAGCCATAGTCTACATTTTCAAGAAGTCTACTCATGTTCTCAAGCTGGTGCCTTCCAGATGCTTTGGACTACAATTCCCATCAGCCTCAGCCAGTATAGCTGGGGCTGTTGGAAGCCACTGTCTATTTAGAGGACACTAGGCTGAGGAAGTTTATTCTGCTTTGTGATCATTTTTATAACAGTCCAACAAGCTTAAGTAGCCCTGGAATCCAGAAGCTAAACCAACCTAGACTCTCCAATGTCACCTGAGATTCACTATTCTCCAGTGGATGGGAGTTCCAAGAGCTTTGCTGACATGCATAAAATGAGCACATGGGAGAGAAGTAGGAGGGAGCCCCTGATCAATCTTCTATCACTACAGGGAAAAGATATGCACCTCCCAAGAGATGTATATCCTAAGTTTTAAGCCTCAGCTCTTAGGACGCTCTCTGTACTATAAGGCTGGAATTCTAATCTGAATTACCAAAAGGGATTAGATGGTGTTGACCCAGAGATATCCTGCCTTGGAGGAATGTTCTCTCATTAAATAAAACCACCAAGGTTAAATGCAATCTGAAAACCCTTAGTATCAAATTTCAGAGCAGGCTTTAGGGACAAAATATGCACTCAAGTAATGTAGGCACATGAAAAAGCTGCATGACCAGAATTCCAAAGGACAGGCTTGGACGGCCGTAGCTGAAATCTAGTACATTTCATACTGCTTTGAGAACATACATAAAAAGACAGATTTAACATTTGCTCAAATGCTGAGAATTTCAGGGCTGCGCTGAAGATACTTACAGCAATGACTCTGTAACCCCATCCAGACAAGGCTAAAATCTGCTGGAAGAAAACATCAGCCGTTCCACTGACAGGTGGGAGAAATATAAGGGGGCACCGAATATTACGGGGTCCTGCATCATAGAGCGACCAAACTTTACTGTCATCGTCATCTACTATAATCTGTAAAATAAATGCAGAGAAGGTAAAAATGGCTTCTTCTGATGCACATAGTAGTTAGTATTCCTTCAGCACAGCCATCATTGAAATCTGGGTGGTGGTGTCATTGGGGCAGGATTTGGGGGGGTAGATAACCATGGCACCAAATGAGCAGAATGAGCTCCCCAAATACAGTAGGTTTGGCTTAACACAATCTAAAGCAAAATTAATGCAGAGTAGCATCTAAAAGTGGGGGGGGGGGGAGAGACAGACAGACAGACAGACAGACGGAATAAGACGATTAACTTCAGAGTCTAAAATTTTCTGCTACTCTGATTCCAGGAATCTCTTCTCTGCTTTACATTTAAAAACGGACTGCTTGCAAAGTAGTCTTAGCTTGTCACGTCTTATGTTTACACAGCCTACTGAAACACATCTGGAGGCAGAAGAAGTGCAACTGTGAAATATAATCAGTTGCTTTTCAACCAGCTCCATGAACGAGCCATTTGGCTGCTTTGCAATTGATTCTGTGTAAGCCACCAACCTGCCACTGCAAGGTATTATCCACATGTAACATGCACAATCCTTTGCAAGATCCTGTCATGCAAAGAATTAATGGCTTTGCCATGCCCACTCCAGACTGGGCTTCAAAAAGAGCTTTATAAAAATGATCTCCCTCCCTTCTCTCTGACGGTTTAGACCCCTCCAGACAATACTGTTGTGGATCCAAATATGCCTTCCCCACCCCAAAACAGTCACAGGCCAAAGCAAAGTTAATGTACTCAATACGCATGTCATACGCCAACGCAGAAGAGCAGGCATGGAACTCAATCATGTGAGCATCAGGACATTCTGCTTTGGAACAGATCCAAGTTAGAAAAGACGTAAGCAAATCTAAAATATTCAGAAGTCAGACTTTCTCTGCTCTCCCAACGCGTCATCACCAAATCATGAGACTGAAAAAATATTGGGGGATGGAAAGAGAGTGGTTTTGCTCTTCAAGCTGCAGAGGAAAGAAACATGCAGCTGGCTTCCTTTTTTAGACACTGCAGGTTGAGCAAGGAAACAAGACTCTCTCAGCAGCCATTTCAGATCCAAAACCACTCTGAGTACGAAGGAGTTGCTCAGATAAGAAAATAATTGGTTAATGGATGCATGTAAAACACCTACACCATGGGTTGCCAGTGTGGTGCCCTCCAGATGTTATCAAACTACATTTTCCTTAATCCCTGGCCACTGGCCATGCTATGACTGATGGGACTGGAAGACCAAGAATATCTATAGGGCACCACTTTGACCAACCTGGACGTACATTCATTAAAATGGGAATGGATGCTCTGTGGCCTTCCAGATGTTGAATTCCACCTCCCATCAACCCGTTAGCCTGACCAATAGTCAAAGATGATGGGAGCCATTGGAGAGCCATCCCAAATTAAAAGATGGGCACAATTCATTGTATGTCTACTTATAAGTAAATCCCATTAAGTTCAATAGAACTTGCTCCTGAGTGTGTAGCCCAAAGTATTTTTTTTAAAATTTTGCTTTAGCTTTAATATGAATATTGCTCTGAAGATCAGTCATAATTATAAATTAACCATGATACTAGAAGTGCTTTAACTTTACTCCTTAAGATTTACTGAAGCACATTCTGTGTCTGCTTTATCCCGGAATGTTTAGTGCAATAAGCTCCAGGTTTTCTAACAATCTCTTCACTTCCAAGAGGATAAAAATATATATGGGTGAAATCCAATTGTGGTGTTCCTTGCAGTCCCCTCCATGCTCCAAAAATCTGTTCTGGAGGGTTCAGTGATCCTCCAAAACAGATAAAGGGGAATGGAAGGCAAACCTTGTTGTGTCCAGATGGAATTTCATTGGATCTTGCCCTATGTCAGCAACCTTTCTCAGCAGTGATCCGGTCCACCGTCTCTCAGACCATGTGGTGGCTGGACTATATTTTGAAATAATAATAATAATAATAAACGAATTCCTATGCCCCACAAATACCCCTGAGATGCATTTTAAATGAAAGGACACATTCTACTCATGTAAAAACACGCTGATTCCCAGACTGTCCACGGGCTGGATTGAGAAGGCGATTGGGCTGCATCTGGCCCCTGGGCCTTAGGTTGCCTACCCCTGCCCTACATGTTTACTCTCAATACAGTATTCCTTAACATGAATAAGGGAAACCCTCACCCTATGTTTAAGTCAATTACAAAACCCACATTAATTTATCTGATTGCAGATTACACCAAAATCTTCTGTGTATAAAAATGTCCAGGTTATTCAATCATTGTCAAGTTACGGTAGTTGAACTTCTCTAGCTGGAAACAATAGCACAAATTCAGCTGTTCCTCCTCCACCACCACCACACAACGCCTCTATTAACATCTGAAAGGAAAGCAGCTGGCAAAACCTTAAGAGCTGGTTAGCTAGATGTCTCTGGTCTGCAGTAAAAGCTGTACTTGAGGAAGCATGTGAAAGATCACATGTTGCTAGAAAATCTTGCACTGTTCACCTAAAACAAAAAAGACTCAGAGATAATCCTAAACAGGGCTGCATGCCAAAAATCCAATACCAACAAAGTTCCTGTCCAGTCTCCTTTTCACTTTTTCATTTTTTTGTATTAGAGAGAATTTCCTGTAGAGGTGCACCCCACTGAACAGAAGTGCTTGAATGCAGGTCTACTCAGCATACAATATTAGCCCTGATTCATACTATCTTTTCTAACCACAAACCACCCATGAGATTTCAGCCTGTACATTCCAGGAAGCCAAAAGATTCTCTGAATGCATGCTCACTGCTGAGATGATAGAGTTCACCACATCACATGATGCTAACTGTTTTCTGGACATGCCGTAACCCAGTGGCTGAACATGTTTTTTGATGCAAAGGCTCCCATTTTCAATCTTTGGCATCTTCAGGTAGGGTGTGGAAAGACCCCTGACTGATGTCCTAGAGGGCCACTGCTGCCTACCTAATCTACACTTTTCAAAATAGGATGCAAAGCAAAACGGAACCATCATCCTCTGAAATCCCCATTTCTCCAAATTCTGCGATGTAGTTCTCCAGCCAAGTAACGTGTGCAAAAATGCATATCTAGGGTAAAATATGCATATAAATTCATAGGTGAAAAGTTAAAGGTAAAGGACCCCTGGACGGCTAAGTCCAAAGGTGACTATGGGGTTGCGGCGCTCATCTCGCTTTCAGGCCAAGGGAGCTGCCGTTTGTCCACAGACAGCTTTCTGGGTCATGTGGCCGGCATGACTAAACCGTTTCTGGCGCAACACTGTGACAGAAACCAGCGCACATGGAACACCATGTACCTTCCCACCACAGCGGTACCTATTTATCTACTTGCACTGGCATGCTTTCGAACTGCTAGGGAGGCAGGAACTGGGACAGAAGAATGGGAGCTCACCCATTGTGCTGATTCAAACCACCAACCTTCTGATCAGCAAGCCTAAGAGGCTCAGTGGTTTAGACCACAGCACAACTCGCATTAGCGAAAATAACATACAAAAAGTGCATAATATGAGGGAAAGTGGCTTTGCAAAAAAGTGTATATTAACAGGAAATCACACTCAAATGCTGATGAATTTTCAGGTGGTCTTTAAAAAACATCACCAACTGATACAGAAATGTGGAAAACTGAACTTAAGAATGGAAAAATGAGAAACTGAGAAAAACTGAAAGTGACAGATTTGCTCATTGATACCATTGAGTCATATGACACAGATTCCTACAATTCCCCACAATGAGCACATCACCCAGATTTGAAAAATAAACCTCTCTCTGGAATAGCACAGTTGGTAGAGCATGAGTCTCTTAAGGTCGTGGATTTGAGCCCATGCTGGGCATAAGATTCCTGCCTGCATTACAGAGGGTTGGACTAGATGGCCCTTGAGGTCCCTTCCAACTCTACAATTCTATGATTCTAAGTATCACAATAATGTTGGTTCCATGCTTTCAAGGAGTCTTGCTGTGATTATTCAGCTAAGCAATAATTATTTGCACAGCTGCGATTCAGGTTGATGAAAAGCACGTTAAGGAAGATGCCAGGTATTTCGTAATAGAACAAATACTCCATCTTGTTGTAGTTTTATTTTCTGCAGCCAGGGAGGGCAGGGCATTCAAATTAATTCCAGTCTGAGGTGATGAGCAGAAGCAGCTGTGACGTTTTTATTCTCTCTCCTCCTGTGGGCACAGGGCAGAGTTCTCCCCAGGGAAGGCATGCTCACACACATCTCATCACACTACCTTCCCTCTCTGTGGCTGCTATGCTTTGTAGAAAGACAGCATTACTCAAGGGAGACATTGGCCTCAGACTCCAACGGCTATTGCTTCATAGAAAATTCCCGTAGGTCTGCAATATGCACCATTTATAACCGTTGGGTTGTGGTCCAACAGAATGAGCTCAGGCTTGCAAGAGAGGTTAAAGATAATATAAAAAGGTTTCTTCGGCTATGTCCGAAGTAAGAGGAAGAAGAAGCAAGTGGTAGGTCTTCTGCGTGGGAAGATGGAGAAACGCTATTGGGCAACAGAGAAAGGTAGAACTAGTCAACACCTACTTTGCCTCTGTCTTCACCCAAAAGGAAAGTGATGCCCAACCTGGTGATAACAGAATAAATGATGTAAGGAGGGAGCTGCCACCCAAGATAGGAAAAGAGGTAGTAAGGGAACACCTAGCTACTTTAAATGAATTCAAGTCTCCAGGGCCTGGTGAGCTACACACAAGGGTACTAAAGGAGCTTGCGGGTTTAATTTCAGAGCCTTTGTCTATTATCTTTGAGAATTCTTGGAGAGGAGATGAGGACCCTACAGACTGAAGGTGGGAAAATATTGTCCCCATCTTCAAAAAGGGGGGAAAGGAAGACCCAAGTAACTACTGACCGGTGAGCTTGACATCAATACCAGGGAAGGTCCATTACAGGTAATTCAACAAATGTAAGGTTCCACGCTTACACAGGAAGAATTAGATGAACAAATATAGAATGGGGGACACCTTTCTTACGAGCAATGCATGTGAAAAGGATCTTTGGGTCTTGGTGGGCCAAAATCTTAACATGAGTCAACAGTGTGATGCAGCAGCAGCAAAAAAAAGAAAAAAGAAAAAAAGGTAATGCTATTCTAGGCTGCATCAATAGAAGTATTGTGTCCAGATCAAGGGAAGTAATAATACCACTATTCTGCCTTGGTCAGACCATGTTTGGAATACTGTGACTAATTCTGGGCACCACAATTTAAGAAGGATGTTGACAAGCTGGAATGTGTGCAGAGGAGGGCAACCAAGATGATCAAGGGTCTGGAAACTAAGTCTTATGAGGAATGCTTGAAGGAACTGGGTATGTTTAGCCTGGAAAAGAGGAGACTAAGAAGAGATATGATAGCCATCTTCAAATATCTGAAAGGCTGTCACATGGAGGAGGGAGCAAGCATGATTATTTTCTCCTGCTCTAAAGGGTAGGATTCGAATCAATGGCTTCAAGTTGCAAGAAAGGAGGTTACGACTAAACATTCGAAAAAACTTTCTGACAGTTAGAGATGTTCAGCAGTGGAACAGACTCCAACGAAAGGTAGTGGGCTCTCCTTCCTTGGAGGTTTTTAAATGGAGGTTGGATGGCCTTCTGTCATGGATGCTTTAGCAGAGATTCCTGCATTGCAGGGGGTTAGATTAGATGACCCTTGGGTCCCTTCCAGCTCTAAGATTTTATGATTCTAACTTGATTCTGGTTTGTGGTGTGGAGGCCTGTACAGCTGTTAGTTCTGCAGCACCACTATAAGGCCTTTGCAGGAAATCTATGGGACCATGATCTCCAGAGAGCCACATGAAGTGGGAGGGAAAGAGTTTAGACAGCTTGGTTTGGGTTGCAAGAAGGAAGGAACATAAGTTTCTAGTAGGGCTGAACCAATCTGTAAATTTTGGTACCTCTCTGTTTCTTATTTTTCTAACCTTAAATTCAGCTTGCCACATTTCTGCTTCAGTTTGCCATCTTATATATTTTTTTAATCCTCAGTAATTTTTTTCAGCAATTTAATGTACATTTGTCCTTGGCAAACACTTTTTATATGAAGTTATGCACAACAGACCTATTGCTACAAACAATATGCATTGTATGCATTTTTTTTGGTTAATATCTGTATTTTTACACACTTCCCTCTAGTCTAGTCTATGCAACTGTACATTTTTTTTGATCGGAGAACTTGTATGGCAAAATGTGGATTTCAAAGGAAGTGCAAACTGGGTAGATTCACAGTAAAAAAACCTCTTACCTCTGTATGGTATGATTCTTCCGGAATAAGGAAAAATGCAATTTTGTTGATGCTTCGATCCTGGAATTGCTGCTCTTAATCCCCAGAAGGCAACAATAATTTTCTGCATGGCAAGTCAACCCAGCAAGGTCAGGATTTATGGGCTTGCCCACATACAACAAATTATACGCAAACATTGCAGAAAATTCCACACATGTAATATGGACATACAGAACATAGGTGTCTATGGACCTGATATACATTTTGAGTTCTAAAGGTAAAGGTACCCCTGCCCGTACGGGCCAGTCTTGACAGACTCTAGGGTTGTGCGCCCATCTCACTCAAGAGGCCGGGGGCCAGCGCTGTCCGGAGACACTTCCGGGTCACGTGGCCAGCGTGACATCGCTGCTCTGGCGAGCCAGAGCCGCACACGGAAACACTGTTTACCTTCCCGCTAGTAAGCGGTCCCTATTTATCTACTTGCACCCGAGAGTGCTTTCGAACTGCTAGGTTGGCAGGCGCTGGGACCGAACAACGGGAGCGCACCCCGGCGCGGGGATTCGAACCGCCGACCTTTCAATCGGCAAGCCCTAGGCGCTGAGGCTTTTACCCACAGCGCCACCCGCGTCCCTATTTTGAGTTCTAGGGTCCTGCTAATTATGCCCCTGAGTTTGCAATTAAGGATCAAGTAAACAGCACCAGAAGATCCCTCATATACATGTCCTTGGGATCAGAGGGAAAATCAATCAATCAATCAATCAATCAATCAATCATATATTCCATCCTTCCTCCCAAATGAGCACAGGCCCAGGGCAGCAAGAATTAAAAACTGGACCTACCTTTTTTAGAGGAACTGTACTTCTGAACCAGTTATAGTCAGGAGAGATTTTAATCTCTCCCATGTTGGTAACGAACCCAAGGTAAAGAAAAACCTGAAAACACAACAGGGGAAATGTTTCAGACAAAGTAAATAAAATGTAGGACCACTTATATACTTGAGGGAATTTCTTCAGGGTAAACCTGCTTTCAGGTCCCATCAGTTTATTATTCTTCCCTTCAGATTTACTTATTTACTTGTGCGCAACAAGAAACCACCAAGAAAAATTCTGGAACTGGAAAGGGTGGAAAAGATAAGGAAGTTCAAATTGGAAGCGATTTAATACATGTTTTCTAGTTAGATGGCACAAGGGAGCTGAGAGGCCAACTGCCTCTTCCTAAAAATAAAATACAACTGCTGCTGAAGGACCAACTGTGCATAACAGAAGATGAACCACTGTTGTAGCTCCATGTAGGCCAAACAGTACGGGAAATGAAGCACATTTTGGTGAGGATTATGGGTCAAAGCCTTGCAGAGTGTTAACAAGCGAAATGGCACAGTGGAAACCTTAACATGAAACCAGTATTTTGGCTATACATTGTAAATAGAGTTGTGCACCTTGCACAATTCCACATTCCTAAGAATCAAACTCAAGCACTCCTCCCAGGACACAACTAGCATTTTGTATTATGAAAGTGTGCTTAAAAATGCACAGGCAGTATTGCAAAACTCTCCAGGGTTTCAGATGATGGTGCTTCCAAGCACCTCTCTCACAGCCTCTAGGTCACTTCCCCCTCACACTCCCCTTTCCAAACTCTCCAAATTCTGCAAACATTTGACCGTCAAATCCAGGATGTGAATTCAGCAAAACATTGCAAAATACTGTTCACAGGCTGTGCTGACTTGCACAGCCTCTTTGGACGCAGAGCTTCGTCGGTCAAAGTTTCCCAGTCATGAATACAACTGACCTTGAACATATTTGTATTACAGCCATGTAATACGCCCTGGGAAAACCTAGGGCCCAAGAAAATGCCTAAGAGGAAGCAATTGCTTACCCAATCTAAGGGCACAATAAAAATGAATCTGCACAGTGGTTAGGAGTTAGGCAGCGTACACACCATACATTTAATGCACACTGCTTCCCCCAAAGAACCTTGGGAACTGTAGTTTGTTAAGGGTGTTGGGAATCATAGCTCTGTGGGAGGGTAAATTAACATTCCCATTATTCTTTGGGAGGAAACCATGTGCTTTAAATGTATGGTGCGAACACTGCCTTACTTTGTAGCTACAACCACCCCACAGTTTCTCTTTTTGTCACCTATGATTTAATACTACCGATGACGTCTTGGAACACAACGTAGCAAATAGTTCCTCCACTTTTAATCCACTTTTAATTCTTCTCTACCAATATGCCTTGAACTAACTAACTCACCAACATTCAGTGCTACCCTGGGCCTTGAGACTTCTACAGGTGCAGACAATGTTATGTCAGACAATTCACAAAACCAAGCCCTCAAAACCACCTGCTCCTTCCCATTTAGGAAGTTAGATAACATCTCAATTAAAACCAGCAGTAAACTTCAAAACATCACTTTCTATAAAAGCCAGATGTACCAAACCTAAACTGGAAAATACTTATGTGGAAAAACATTTCATGCATGCAGTAAAATTAAAAGGCTGTGCTAATGTTTTATTCCTCTGCTTTAGCCCTAAATCTTCTGTTGATCACTTAGGTATGGAGTGAAGCACACTCAGCTATTCTTCCTGGTTATAACTTATACTGTACAGCCCTTCATCCTTACAACTCAAGAATGGTTTCGGACCCAAGTTTTAAAGGGATTATTTCCAACTTCCATCAACAACTAATTAAGCTCCAAGTACTGCAACCCTCTGCATAGACTTGTAATCCAGATCATAGGATAGACCCAAAGGATTTTTATTGGTTTACTCGTGCATTCCATACTCTCGAGTCAAAGGTAGGAACCAGAAAGATTTTCAATATTAGATTTCAGATGCTTCAGAACATTCACATGCTCTATAGTGCGCAAAGACACAGGACTTTGTACATGGCTTTGAACAGATATAGCACCAAAATATTGATTTGTTGCTGGGGGATGCATGGAACAGACTAACACAGAGATTTACAGCATTGGGTGCACCTAGGCAACTCTGTGGGTACATGGCAATAAGCTCCCACTCCCGCCACCATAACCCAGGCTCCATGGCCAAATGCAGACCTCTCTATTTGGTTCTTGGAAGTCTCCCCATGTCATACCCCTCATTGACCCTGCTTCACACCCCAGGTGTTTCTGCCTGGCTGGAAGGTATCTATTAACAAAGGTAATGCCCCTTGCTTGCCTAGACAGAAGATGAATGGGGGTAGGGGTGTATGTTTAGAAAGTGCAAGTGTAAAATTTACATGTATTGCTGTACCTACTTTTTATCTTTTGTTCTGCCCCACAACTGGCATGCTTCCCCCTACCCCAAAAGTTACCCAGAAGGGAATGCAGGACCTGAGAAAGGTTTCCCACCCATCATAGCCTTCTCCAGCATCATCACATCACCCTGAACAAACTCATCAGCTACGTTGGAATCCAGGAATAAAGAACCCAAATTTCACCACCATCACTACAGCACTCTCCCCACTTGCGAGTTTCAGCAGCTGGCATTCAGAGGCATCCTGCCCCCAACACAGAGGTAATATTTCCTTCCGATTCATCCCAAGAAAGGCCCTAGAATATGTCATGTATGTATTGGGTATATACATATTTCGTATAACACTGAAGTTATGAGATAGATTTCCATCGTGCACCAATTTTGAAAAGCACAGCGTAAATGTAATAAATCAATCCATTTCATTTGGAAGCCCAGAGTTTGTTTTGTAAAAGTCCTTGGTATTACACCTGGCTCACTTCTTCTTGGGCCCTGAACTCCCATCACTGGGCTTTGTGAGCTGAAGCTCCATCTTTTCATTCTTACTGGGCTTCAAATATTCATTTGATCACAGTACAATCCTATGCATATTTACGCAGAAGTAAATCTCACTGAGTTCAGTGGAACTGTCTCTGGTGCATTTAGGTTTGCAGCCTTACACCACAGTCCTAACACCCTGATCATTTGGTGTTAGAGGTGATCCTCTGTCAACCACAGCTGGTGGAGTGGGAGTGGCTGTACTGCTGCTGCAGCCCCTGCTGCAGGCAGGAAAGTACCATAGGCAGCAGCCTACAGAAAGACCTAAAATGGGGTGCTGGCAGCTTTGGACGCAAAGCCCCACAGATCCTCTGAGGGGATCAATACTTTTAGGCCAAACTTTGAGCTGGGGGGAGAGGGAGGAACACTTTTCTCCCACCTTGGCCAGCACAAGCCAGCAGGGTTTCCGATGAAGTAGCTACTTTACCTGCTGCTGCCTGGCTCAGGTTTGCTCTAAAAAGATTGTTTTTGATGTTCGTTTCTGTAAGTTGCTCTAAGTAGCTTTTGTGGAAAAACAACAACTAAAAAACAATAACAAAGACACCCCTAGATTGTCCAGGCAGCAGATTTCAACTTTTAAGTTTATTTCGAGTAAGAGCACTTAAAAATAAATCAAACTTCAAAAAAACAGCACAATCTTTGGAGAGGCATTCTCTCACACATAAAAGGGAAGGTCTCTTCCAGAAACCTGCCACGACACGTGTGCTTTACTATATACACACACGTAGCACTGTTGTGTGTGTGCAGGGAGCTTGGTGTGCAAGTAATGTTTGGGTGAACTTTAAAGCAGAAATTTAAAGCAGAAATTTATGCAACACAGGATCAAGTCTTACAGAGTTAAATGGCGCTTTCGCTCTCCCACTGAAAACCAGTTTTTGTTTTCTTGGTTATATGATTTTGCTTTCCATAAATGTGTAAGACAAAACATATTTACCTGCTACTTTTCTGCATAAACATACAATTATAGCTACCCCACCAAGTCTTTGGCGTAATCCATTGGGTTGCAATGCTAACCCCACTTATCCGAGAGTAGGCCCCATTGAATTCAAATGTATTTACATCAGAGCAGGTGTGGTTTGGATTGCACACACAGTCCTCAACCCCTACTGGAAGTAAGCCAGAGCAGCAATAACAGGTCTCCTCAATATTCTTCACTTTTCCTCCCCTTCTCTCTTTCCACTGCCCTCCCTTTCTTTCAAAGTCATAGACTGTATGCTGCTCGGGGCAGAGGCCTGTGTTTTTCCTTACATTATTCTGTTAAACACTATGGATACTTGCTGGTATAAGAGTGCATGTTAAGAGTTAAAACTGTCACCTGATTAAAGAAAGCACAACACATTACATCTGCACACCAACAACAAAGTGCTTGGTAAAAAAAATCATAAACTTTATGAGTGTAAAGTAACCATGTTTACAAGGCATTACAAGGCACATTGCAAAGTTAAATGCATCCCCCCATTTCCCACGGCCGCCTCTTTGCCCAGGACCTCCCCCCTCTCCACAGCTTAGCCCTTTTCCCAACCTCCCCTTCCTGAAAAATATAAATATTATCATTTCCACATCAACTATCTGCAACAAGCTACCCACCACAGAACACTTGAGACTCACTGTTTAGGTAAATGCGCACGCCCCCTTCCCTCCGGAGAACTTCCCTCTCCCACCTCCCTTCGCCTGCATGCTCACAACAACCCTGCGAGGTAGTCCAGACTGAGGAGGCGAGTTTCGTGGCTCGGTGAGGGATTTCTGAACCCGTCGTGGTTCCTGCGCACACTTAACCGCTTCCACCACGCGCACTCTCAAATTAACAGCAGTTAGTTAATTAACAGCACCGTATTCGCCATAACTACCCCTTGGAAACTTACTTCCCTCATCTACAGGAGGAGGTAACAACAGCAACAACGCACCTCCTCACTGTACCCCATCGACCTCACTGAGGTCCCGAGCCTTTGCTCCCCTCCATTTCTTACCGGATCTTCCACAGGGCGGAGTGGGGGGTGTTGAGGGATAGCCCGAATATCGTATCCGCCCCCCCTCCTCTTCTCACGTCAGTGGTATCTTCCCAGCCCCCTCCGCCGCCGTCGCCTCTTCCTCGTCCCGCGGCGCCCTCAAGCAGCCAACCCCGCTGCTCTCCCGCCCCCGCCTCCCAAGCGGGCGGGGCGCGGGCCAACGGCGCACGCCAATCACTCGACGTCACACACCCCCTAAAAGGGGCAAGGGCCCGATGGAAGGAGCCTGAGCTCGACAGGCTCCATAGCTACCGAGGCGGAAGGGCTCCTGTCACGTGATTTGAAGAAATGAGTGGGACGGGGGAAATCACCTTACGCGCAAGCGCACACGGGGCCGGGGAGGGAGCAAACGTCTGGCGTTGTGGTTGGAGGAACTACAACTCCCATCAGCCCCAGCCACTAAGGCCAATAGGTAGCGATGATGGGAACTGGACTCCAGCAACAGGGCCACAGGGTATTCTCTCACCTCCCCCCCCACCAATTTAAAATGCCGAATATTTATTTATTTATTTATTTGCTTGCTTGCTTGCTTGCATTTATATCCTGACTTTTCTCCAGGGTGTTCACACACGATTCTATCAGCCACCCCTTTATTTTAAAATCCGTACAACAGTCCTGTGAGGTAGGTTGGGGTAAGATATACCGGTAGTTATAGTATATGGCCCAGGGGTTCCCAGTAGGCGCTCTGGCTCAGTTATGCTTGAATCATTTTTTCCTCGAAAAACCCTGTTAGTGACGGGCTCGGGGGCACCCAGAAAGCTTTGAAGCTGAGTGGGAGTTTGAACATGGCTCTTGCTAGCCCTAGTCCAAAACCATAAGAGAGTTCAGTACATTAATGCAGCATAGTTAATATATTCCACAATCCAGGGCTTTATGTGAGTTTTAGACTGCGGTCATAATGTGTGGTTATCTAACCATTAACATCTGTACTGCACTTGTATTTGCTTTCCATGTGTATACATGCTTGCCAATTTAGGATTATGGTTCCTACATTTGATGAAGCGCCTTGTAGTCAATGAAAGTTTATGTCATAATAAAATGGTTAAGTCTTTAAGGCAACCTTCCCCAACCTGGTGCCTTTTAGATGATAATCCCTAACCATTGGTCATGGTGGCTGGGGTTTTTGGAAGTTATAATCCAAAACATCTGTGCAGAAAACTGCTTTAAAGTGCCACAATACTTTCAATTGTTTTTGCTATAACAAATTAATAGGATTAACGTTCTGGAATACTTGAAGCTGAGTTATTTATATACTCTGTTATGGGCCCTAGTTTTATAACCATGACTGCAAACCTTAAAATTACTTATTCCAGGGTGGCACTTTTACAAAACTGGCCTGTTCATTTTTGTTGTTACAAAATGGACTGTGTGAAGTTCACTGTAGACAAGGGAAGTTGTAACTGAAATATTCCAGCTTCACCCTAACCTAAAAACTGGATGGTGCCTGCCACCCAGAGGTGAAGATTAACATATGCTCTCTGAGAAATTTAATTTCTACTCTTCCTATGAATCATCCCAGTTGACACAAATAAATAAAATTCATCCTCGTGTTAATCATTACTCTATGTTAGGGGTCAGCAAACTTTTTCAGCAGGGTGCCAGTCCACTGTCCCTCAGACCTTGTGGGGGCCGGACTATATTTTTTGAGGGGGGGAATGAACAAATTCCTATGCCCCACAAATAACCCAGATATGCATTTTAAATAAAAGGACACATTCTACTCAGGTAAAAACACGCTGATTCCCGGACTGTCTGCGGGCCGGATTTAGAAGGCGATTGGGCCGGATCCGGCCCCTGGGCCTTAGTGGGCCCACCCATGCTCTATGTATTTGGTCCCTCTGTTATAACTCTGTTAACTCTGTTATAATGTCAATCCTGCAGCTTCATCACAGGGTAGTGAAAATAGGTGAGATACAAGCTCCAGTCTGGAAAAGAGATGTTTACACAAGCCTCCTTATCCTTGTCAGGATCCATAAGATCCTGGTGCTGCAGCAACTGCTGTGCCTAAATTGGTATGGCTATAATTATGTATGTATGTATGTATTTATTTATTTATTGCATTTATAGCCCACCTTTTTTCTTTAAGGAGCTCAAGGTGACATACATGGTTTTCCCACTCCTCAATCTCGACAACAACTCTGTGAAGTAAGTTGGGCTGAGAGGCAGTAACTGGCCCAAGGTCACCCAGTGGGTTCCATGGCCAAGTGAGGATTTGAAATCTGTTCTCCCAGGTCCTACTCGGACACTAACCATTAGTATCATCATCATTATTAATTAAATCTATTAGTTGTTCTTTTTTACAAAAGGAACTGAATGCTACTTACAACAATAATCCCACACTACGTTAAACTGTTAGAAGGGTAGTGGTTGGTGTTAAAAGGAGCTGCAACCCAAAACATCTGGATACGCCCAGTTTAAACCGGGCTGTTTTTCTCATTGCAGATGGTGACCATTTCGCAGCCCCCATTCTGCTCCGCCCCATTCTGTTCTGCCCGTTTTGTCTTCTTCCAGGTCCAGAAGGACCTGTGTCGGCAATCGCACATCAGTTGGAATTGGTGCCTGTATCAAGAGCAGGAAAGTACTACATTGCAAAACCAACAGAGGGCCTATCAACTGACCCCTCCTTCTCTTCTCTCCCCACATTAGTGGAGCTTTGCCTTGCAAGATATCTTCAGGAGAGGAAAAACTAAGGAGCAATCCCTACACAAATGTTTAGTTTATAAATTATTTGTTGCTTGTGTTTTATTCATTGGATGGGCTAATGCAGCCATGGCTAATTCATTGGATGGGCTAATGCAGCCACTGTCCAGATCAGACTGAACCTGACTACTGTTGGTTAATGATGTTTTATATGCAGTGCTTTTTTCTGGAGGTACGCAGGGGCACGCATACCCCTAAACATTGTGTGAATCTTTGTGCTTTTGTCCATTTGCTGTATTTATTTTTCCCGATTTGAACTATAAAATGGTGATTTTCTTGAGTCAAAATAAGAGTACCCCTAAACATTTTTTAGGGAGGGAAAGCACTGTTTATATGAGATTGGGGAAAATCTGTTCTACTCTGCCATTGATACACTACCAGTCGAAGGCTACGGCGCCCTGCGCACTTCAACTCCCATCATGCACTATCTCTCTCCCTCCGCCCCCCGCCCCCCCGCCGCACTTCCCGCCTATGTATCCGCCTCCCCGCTCTCTGGACTACTAGTCCCAGGAAGCATCGCGCGCTCCCTTCCGCCCCCAGCGCCCCGGGGTCGGGCGCCGCGAATGCCGGGAGCCGCAGTTCCTCAGGGGCCTGTGACGCCACACAGGTCGTCGAGAAGGAGGCTGTCGGTGGGGTCGTGGAGAAGGCCGAGCTGTTTACGCCAGGCGCTCTCTCCCGGCTGGAAGGAGGAGGAGGAGCGGGGCCACGGATATGGCCGCCTGTAACACCTGCGCAGCGGCCGCGCGGCTCCTCAGCTCCTCGCTGCCGTCCGCGCGCAGAGGTAACGGGGGTGGGGCAGCCCTTTCCCCTTCTCCCCCCCCCAACCCAGCTCACCCTGGTCGCGGCCTAGAGCCGGCCCCCTCCCGTCCCCTCAGGTAGGCCTTGGCCCCGCCCTTTACAAGCTAGGCCTGCCCACCCCCCCCAAAATATCCCCCACACCATTTATTTATGGTTATTTTTTTATCAGCTTCTCGCCGGGTTTAATTTGTTAGTATCCAGCAGTTTCCAGAGGGGTAGGATTTGTTTATTATAACCCAACAGGCTTCCAGATGGGTGCAATTTAATTATTATCTGTCGGCTTTCAGAGGGGTAACCTGTCCTAATAATGTCTTGCAGCAAAACAACAAGGTTTGTATCCAAATCCCACTCAAAAGTAGGCCCGTTGACGTTAATGGGCACGATTAATTCAGGTCCGCTGACCTCAGTGGGTCTACTCTGGGTATAACTTAATGTTGGGTACAATCCAAGGATTGTATTGTGTGACACCTTCAGTGCTATCCTAACCATGTATCTTTGCTCAACAAGTATGTCCTTCTGAGTTTAGTGGGGCTTTATTCTAGGAAAAGTGATGTTCGGATTTGCAGTTTTAACACATTTGTTATGGCATAAGCTTTCATGGAACTGAAGCCCAGTGTGCCAGAATGTTGATTAAATCTATATAAATTGTGTATTAGCTGTTTTTTAAAAAACATAATTCATTAATTATACGTTGAGTCAGTGTACGAAATAAGACCAAAACTGGTCGTGAGAAAATAAATATAACCATAAAATAGATTCAAAGAAACTTTATAAAAAAAAATAGGAGAGCCTTTCCTTGCAAGGGTTGGGGTGTATCATTAGTTCTCTAGAATTCTCTTCCATTAGAAGTGAAGCAAGCTCCAACATTTTGTTTTTGGTGTTGGTTGAAAACATTTCTCCCAGGCCTTCCCAAATCTGTTTATTTTTATCCTGTCATTTTTATTTCATGTTTACATTTTTATTCTGTTTTATGCTCCCTATACCCTGCTCAGGTATTCCCTGAATGTAATTTATAAATTCTGGAATAAATTAAAAGCTCAAATTTTGGTTGAAATTTGCCACAAATTCTCTAGGAGGCTTTTAGGCTGGGTCCATAGTTTATTTATTACCTAATTGCTGGCCTTCAGTTTATGTTGTAACCCTGTAAAGTGTCTATGTATCTTTTCAGGCAGGGAAAATAAACACCATCCAAAGGTGGGGTCCAACAATATATTTCCTTTAAAAAAGTAGCAACAAATGCTTCATCCCCCTTTGTAAATTGAAATAAGAGCGGTGATAATACTGATCTGCGTAGCAGAGGAGTTGTTAAGAGTACTGAAGGTAACCTCTGTGAAGTGCTTTCAACTCCTTAAATGAATTAAAGGAGAATTCTAGCTGTATTTATACAGACATCATTCCCATTGGTTTCAAAGTATATTTAGTATTTGCAGCCTTACCCCTACAATTCCATGCAGAGTTACCCGTGTTTAAGTGCCACTTAATACAGTGGCACTTGCTTCTGAGTAGATGTACAGTGGTGCCCCACAAGACGAATGCCTCGCAAGAAGGAAAACCCGCTAGACGAAAGGGTTTTCCGTTTTGGAGGCGCTTCGCAAAACAAATTTCCCAATGGGGTTGCTTCGCAAGACGAAAAAATCTTGCATCCCCCCGCGGGGTTTTTTTCGCTTTTTTCCGCCCTTTTCCTAAGCCGCTTATCAGCTGTTCCGCTGATAAGCCGCTTAACAGCTGATCGCGAAAAGCCGCTTGACAGCTGTAGCGCTAATCCGCTAA